TTAACACAGGCAGGCAACTGGAAGGAGACTGTGAATGAAACAGGATTTCAGCTGAAGGCAGACTGCAGGTTAAAAGCGTTTAATGCAACATTCAGAGTGAAAAACCCAGACAAGAGATGTACTGAACTAAAACACTACAGTGATGAACTACAGTCTGTCATTGCATATCTTCTTCGAGTCAGAGCGAGAGTAGCAGATCGACTGTATGGTGTATATACAGTATATGGGAATTACGGGCGAGTTTTTGGTGAGTGGAGTGCCGTAGAAAAAAGAAATGGGTGATGGACTGCAGAGTGCTGCTCATCATAGGGAGGTGTATGCATCTTCTATCGATTATATTTTGGAAGATGAAGAACACTATGCAGATCAGTTAAAGGAGTACCTTTTTTATGCAGAAGCCATGCATACAATGCGGGCTGTGTGCAGGAAACATGAACTTATGCAGTATGACTTGGAGATGGCTGCTCAGGACTTAGCATCCAAGAAGCAGCAGTGTGACAAACTGGCAACTGGGACCCTGAGAACATTTTCTTTGAAGGGAATGACTACCAAGCTCTTTGGTCAAGAAACTCCAGAGCAGAGAGACGCCAGAATAAAGGTGCTAGAAGAACAAATAAATGAAGGAGAACAACTTAACTCTAAAAATCTGGAAGGCAGAGAATTTGTCAGAAATGCTTGGGCTGATATTGAACACTTCAAAGAACAAAAGAACCGTGATTTAAAGGAGGCCCTCATAAGCTATGCAGTCATGCAGATCAGTATATGCAAAAAGGGAATTGAAGTTTGGACCAATGCTGAGGAATGCTTTAGCAAGATATAATCCTGTGAAATGAGTTTCTCTTCAAAGTGCCCCAAAACAGAAACACAAGTAAATAAAAAAAATTTAAGTTCCTACCAGTGTACACAAAAATATATAATAAGTTGAGTAAATTCAGCTTTGATTGTAGTGTTAATACAGCACAAAAGGATGTATTTTAATGAAGATTAAATATTACAATTTGAGGTTTGGGGGACTGGTGCTGATTCTAAAACATTAATTAGATAAAATATACCAAAAAATTGTCAGGCTTCTGAACCAATGACTGAATATCAAGATGTTAGGTAATTTTTAGATGTTCATTTTAGTGCCCACTGTTTCATATCTGCTTATGTAGGGAGTTTTTTCCTAAGGTTGAATTCTTATCTTTATTTGGTTAAGACCCCCTAATCTGTTATAGGGGGGTTAATTTTTCTTGCCTTATAGTTGAGCTGTTTGGTTTGACAAAGCTCAGCAGAAACTTAGTGTGTAATCTAAGAATTTCTCCCACATTCTTTAATGCCCCCAAACATTGCATACACTAGGAAATGCCTTCAATGTGTGTTTTACCAGAATTTTGACACTGGTCAAAAATTTTACACTGCCAACAAAGAAGACTCAACTTCTCAGATATATGGTGAAATGCGTTGTTGTGATCTAGGAACTGGTATATAGCAAGTTTCAATTGAGTATGTTACATACAAGCATTAAATTCTCAGATAATTCTTAACCTCAGTGATGAGCCTAAATTTACTCTGCCTGGCTCTCTACACATGGCATTTCAGGGTACAAGGTGTAGCATTTCAATGTATAAGATATACGTAGTGAACATACGTGTTAGTATCTTCATTATTAACATCCTTTTTTATTGCTTGGCTGTAATTTTTGTAAAGATAAATTATATTGCTTTTGTGTGTGTTTTTGTGGTATATGTTCAGAAGCTAAGCCATCCTTGGTATTTTGTTAGCTTTGTAGAACCCTACCTGTGTACTCACTATAACTAATTATGTAAAAACAGATTTCCAGTACTGTTCAGCGTTTGACTTTACATGTTTAAAATGTTGCTGAAGTTTTGTGCTGTTTGCCAAACTCATGCAATGAATAAATGAAGTAATGTGTTATTTAAAAAAAAGAAAAGAAAAATCAAATCGTGTGGAGGCTGGATTGCCATTGAGGCTGAGGTGGGGGGATGGGTCGATGAGGAGTTTGCCCAATAGAGACCAACAGGAGCCAGTTTGGAGACATTTGAGAGAGAGCTGCAGGGTTTGCTGAGCCATGTACTGTGGTGTTGAGGGAAGAGTTTACAATGGCTCCCAGAATTCTCCTTGGGGAGACCAGCTCCACAAAGGTAGAGCCACTAATGAGGGGCAGGCACCTGTGTGCACACCTATGATGGAGTGGTGGAGCTTTGCTCCAGGACACCGAGGTGGAGGGTGTGGAAATGTAAGATGACTGCAACCCAGACACCAGCTGCGGTCAGTCTGCCTATTTAAACCTGGATAAGGCGGATTGGGATTCTCATACCTTGATGTGGGAAAGGTCTTGTGCCCTCCTGTGTCCCCTGATTTCTGCGAACTCTCAGGTTTCAACTCTTTTGGTCACTTCTGGCTCTGAGCCAACCCCATTTTTGGTCACCCTCAATCACCATGCCAGACTTGTGGTCTATCCGTCACCACGTCGACCCAGATACGCCTTTCTTTGAAGGGGGAAAGCCAGTAATTTGTGCAAGGCCTTGTGCACATGGCAGACGTTATACAAGACTTGGGGAGTTGGATGGGTTTACGTCATGGAGGTGCAAAGAGCAAACTGCACTAAATTACCTCTCAGATCTTCTCATTTCAAAACATTCTTTGGGGCACCTTAAGGGCAGCCTCTTCCCACTGTGGGCATCCTCCCACCTGCCCCTCATTCTCTCATCTTCTTGTTGATATACCCGCTGCCTCCCCACCCCCAATTATTTCAGGAAATTCCAAATTCTTCTCACTATAGCACAGCAAGAGCTCCCTCTCACCCCTTCTGAGCTTAGCTCTAGGCCCATGTTTTCATTTCACAAACCCATCCAATCCATAGTTGAGTAAAAGAGCATCTTGGGATGAACATCATCCGCTGTGCCCAGAGAGTAGTAATTATAGTCACAGATAACATTTTTTCAACATTACATACTTTTAAAAGATTATGGAAAATGTAAAGTACTATCTCCTTGAATTACTCTCTCCCACCTCGTCCCCTCTCCCCCTCCCTGGTGAACTCTCTCCTTTGGTAGCTGGAGACCCAAGGTGAAGAGTCAGGCACCTCCTGCCTGAGGCCCCTTGTCTATGGGTAAGGCTGGCCCTGCTTTTCCGCCCCCTGCCCCCTCCCCATCAGTCTGACAGCTGGTTCAGTGCTGTTCTCCAGTCTCTCCTGATGACACAACACTCCTGGCAGGAAGATGTCTAAATTTGGGAGGGGCTGATAGACTGGGGAAAGAGGGCATTTCTTCTTCATATAGAGCCTTGTTCACAGTGTTTGTCTTAGAACCAACTGGAGGACAACCTTGCACCCAGTTCATCAGCCTCATTTCTTATAACTGTGCCAGGCAGACAGGTCTTTGTTATCTTTCAAGTTCACCCCAGGACACCAAAGGGCCATGGCTGCTGGAATGGGAGGGTCCTGGCACCAGTAACACTAGGGACCTACAAGGATCCCTCTAAGGGAGCGGGAGGGGGTGTGTGTATACGGGAAGCCTTCCCACACACTCCAGGCCATGAGTCCTCTTGCCTGTCTATCCATCCTTCTAGGAGACAAGCATCTGCTGTTGTCAGAATCTGCCCTTGGCGTTAGGCCTTCAGAGAGGAGTGAGAAATTGTGTCTCCACTGAGTCCACAGTCCAGTGGAAAAAGACACAAAACATAAATCACTGTAAAGAGCTCCATCTAGGGATGCAGAGGAGGGTCCCCACCGGTTCTCTGGCTGTTAGAACACGGGGGTAGTGGTGTTCCAGATGCAAAGACTGAAAAGCGTGTCCCAGGTTACCTTTCTCTGCTAGACACTGGGTACACAGGGTGACAGCGTCTGGCCTGGGGCTGCGGCAGACTGGCACAGGCTCTGGCACTGGGACCTCTGACTCCACCCTGAGGCCAATGGGGCATGGCTAATGGGAATGATGGGATTTGGGTTTCATAAAGTACACGGCCGCAGAGCAGAAGTAGTCCTGGGGCCGAGGGAGCAGTTAGTAAGGAGGCTGGGCTCTGTATCCAGCCCTCACGCTACTCCACATTCATGGAGGGCAGGCCTGTGGCTGCTATGCTCCCCACTCACTATTCTGAGCCCAGACTCCATACACTGTGAGAAATCTTACAGAGTGTTATGGACCAAATGTTTGTCTCTCTCCAAATTCGCATGTTGAAATCCTACTCCTCAGTATGATGGTATTTGAAGGTGATTATTAGGCGATGAGGGTTGAGCCCACAATGGGATTAGTGCTCTGGTAAAAGAGACCTCAGAGAACTCTCTCACCCATCTGCCACATGAGACACAGTGAGAAGACAGCATCTATAAACCAGGAGGTGGGTCCTCACCTGACATCTGCCCTTTCCTTGATTTTGGACTTCCAAGCCTCCAGAACTGTGAGAAAATAAGAGTTTGCAGTTTAAGCCCCCTAGTCTATGATATTTTTGTCATAGCAGCCCAAGCTGAGACACAGTGAATGCAGTCAGAAGTTGAAACAGCCTGGGAAAGGTGGGGCTCCTTGCAGACACCCGCTCTTGGCATCACACACCTGTGCGAGGCGGGGGTGGAGAGGCCCGGGCCTAGCGTGGGTCCCAGGCTGTGCGCCAACAGTACGAGCTGCTGCGCAGGACGCTGCCACAGCAGGGATGCGGCCTGCACACCATTCAGGAACAGCTGCGCTTTTTTGCCTGGGGCGGCGGGGGAGGGGGGCACCTGGCTCTTTCTGACAGGTGTCATCTTTGATCCTTCGGGCTCTCAGTCCCTGCAGGGGAGCAATGGTCATGGGGGTGGGGACAGGGACAGGGCTCGTCTTTGGGGCTGGAGGACACCCAGATCACCACCTGGCTCACCCGCTACACCGCCCTGGGTGCCCCTCCGAACTCCTGCCTTTACAGTGACGAGGGCAATGGTGAAGTCCACTTGAGGATGGGAAACGGGACCCCGAAGTTCTGTTTTCCTAGGGAAAAAGGAAAATAACACTTTGTCCAGACCAGAGTTTGATTGGATTTAAAAAAGTGTATTGGATTTCCAATACTAAATAAAAACATGAAATTGTTTTTCAAAAAGCCATAGAGTTTACAGCATCAACTACAGAAAAGGCCAAACAAGTGTGTACAGAAACTAGTCCCCAGCAGCCCTCCAGGTCCCCTTCCAGCAGGTGACAAGGCAACAGACACATTTGCTCCAAATCCTCCTGAAGGAAACTGCTGGTCAGCAGCTCAACTAGGACATTACAAGACACACAATGGTTTAATTTCAAAAATCACAGGAAAATGTAAGAAAATGTATTAAACTGTGAAAAGGTGCAATACAGAATAACTTTCCTTTTTCTTAATTTAAAAAAATCCCCGAACTTTGAACAGTTATTTAAAAATAGGCCCCTCCCCCCACCCCAGTTCTGTGGCAGTATCCAGGTACCAAGGCCCTGAGGTAACCAAAGTATCAGGGTTCATGGGAGGGAATGCCCCGAATACCGAGCATGTTTCTTTGGGCAAAAGGTAAGACAGTTTCTGGGGAATCTAGCCCTCCTGGTGTCCAGAGTGTTCTGAGTGCTCTTTTCAGGATCAGTTTAAGTGCACTGGGTTTCCAGAATCCGGCCTGGCACTATCCTCTGTGACCAGCTAGCAGGGCAACAGGAGTTCCAGCATTGCACTTTTCATTGCCCCCAGTTGAGAAACAGAGTTCATCTTCTAGAAAAGCAAATGTGTGGTAAGACCTAAATAGGGGAAATAACCAAGGTACAAAGGCAAGCAGGGCGCCTGTGTGGCCAGGGCAGAGCACAGGCCCCAGGGCAGGCAGGTCCGAGTGCCCACTGGTGTTCTCAGCAGCTGACCTCTTCTTGGCTACAGAACCAAAGCGCAATCCGCCTTCTGCACTGCCTTCCACACTCTCTTCTGGGGATTTGTTGGGGAGCAGGGGAAGATGCCTGAGGGTCAGTCCTGTATTCTTAAGAGATTCTTTATATTAAACAAAAAGAAAAACCTCAGCTCCTTACATTTTTGAGAAAAAGCATACAAGAACCTCCTGCAAAGGCAAAGGCTTCTTGTGTGGCCAGCCTCTCAGCACACCTCAGAGACCTCCTGCTGCCCTGTTCAGATCAGGGGCTTAGCTGAGCTGCTGGGATGGTGTGTAGGAGTTGGGGAGGCCACTCTCCCCGTCCCCTGCTACGTACAGAACAGTGCTCAGAAAGAAGTGGGGAGCCTCACTGGTGCTGCAGCCCCTGCCTGCTTCATTCTTGCTAACACCTTCCCCGTGGGGCTCTGAGGCGTGGAAGTGAGAGCTGGACTGGCTGAGGACAGGAGCTAGGGAGAAGCAAGGAGTCCTACATGGGAACAAAGCTCCCTCCTTAACCTCCGACTTCCCCGAAGGGAACACATGGTAACAGCAGGAAAGGGTCTCTAACCTCTTCTCCGATTTCCCAGGAACTCGGCCAGGCTCGTGCCCTGTCCTGCCATCACTCCTGCAATACAGCGCCTGACTCCTCAGCGTGGACATTCTTATCAGGATATGACCAAGACACCAGGGCAGCTACATCCTCGAACCCACCTATTGCACAGAAGAAATTTTTAACTAGATCCAAATGAAACTCCAGTTGCAACTTAGTGACAATAGAGATGGACATGCCAGGACAGTAAAGAAGATGCTTCCATTCTCTGCAGGTTTCTGGAAGGAAGTACAATGACTGAAACATTCACAGGACCTCAGCAGCCCCTCCATTTCCAGTTCCCAACCCCCCCAACGCCCCCCACCCCAATACTGCAACTGCACAGAAAGCAACAAACAAGTCTTTTCAATGTTACATTTCATTCAGATAGATCTGTAATCTCACAGTGATGAGAGGAGAAAGTCAGGCCTTTAATAATTATAATAAAAAAAATAAAAAAGCTTACAAACAGCAATGCAACATTTCCTCCCCCCTCTCAAAGTGATGGATTAACAGCTGGTAGAGGATGCAATGACTCAGAATCAAAAATAAAAACAAAAACACAAAACACGCCAACCCCTGGAACAACCCACACTGTCAATGACTTTCCAGACATAATTCAAACAAGTAGTCAAACGTCAACCACTTGTGGATAACACCACAGACTTCCTTGGGTTTCGATAGTGTTTTTCTTTTGAAGGTAAAATAAAATAGGACACAAATAAAATTGTACATAAATGCCAACGTCTACACTCCATAAAGGCGATGCCGTCGCAGCATGAAGACGCAGCCTGACCACAAAGTGAAACAGAGGTTGCACTTCTTGCCTCTTCCCTGGACACAAAATTTTGGCCCATGGTGCCCAGTCCTGCAGGGTAGCGGCAGGCAAAGGGAAGCTGCCTTGACACGGCGTCTTCCAGGCCGACCAGGAGAAGGCAGGCGGCCAGGCCTGGAGCTGGCCCCACGTGGGGGTGCTGGCCGGGCGGCCTGCTCACTCTGTGTTTTCAAGTGCTGTCCTCTCGTGCTCTGTACAACTCCTTGTTTTCAAGGCTAAGTCCCAAGACTTCTAGACTCAGGTCTGGAGTCACGTCCCGGTCAAGGTCGTCATGCTGTCGTGATGGCATTTAGGTCCTTCATCAGTCCTTCCAGGTGGGCCATCTCTTTGGTCAGCTCATCTGGTTCATAGCTCTACAGAAAAGAGAACAGTTACCAGGCACAGTCCAAGCAGCCGTCCAGAAGGAGGGCCCACAGAGAGACGTCAAAGCGTCAAGTGGTCAGTGACAACACTGCCTAAGAGACTGGACCACCCACGCCCCTGCTGGCCCAGCAGCATCAGAGGTTGCAGGATGTGCCCAAGCCAGCAACCACTCATTTCTTTCCACTGCAGAATGCCTTTCCTCCAACCCACACTGCCAGGGTCACGAGGACCTCACTCGTCCCTTCTAGTCTCTGTTGGACCCAGCACAGTTGGTATGTCCCCTGTATCTCTGGGCCCCAAGCTCTCCTCCTAAGAGAGTCCTGTACCTGGAAATGCAGAGGCAGAACATATTTATTGGAATGTGGGAGTGAAAGATCAAGGAGAGACCCTGTTGATTTTTGTTTTGAGAGCAACCATGCAGGCACGTTCCTCTCCAGCATCCTGCTCAGGAAAGGTCATGAAGGGGGAGTAAGGGGAAAAAGAACACGTGGATGGTTCAAACCAAGACAAGAGGACCAGAGAGACAGGACACAGTTAAAAGGAAGGCAGGTGGGTGGGCTGGTGTGACAAGCTAATCCAAGCAGATCAAACCCTCAGCACAGCCCCAGCTCACAGGAGCTGCTCAGTGCTCGCCTGATGAATGAGTGAGCGACTCTGCCTCACACTTCTGGGCCAGCACAGAGTATCAGCGTGCCCAGCGCACTCTCAGGCCTTGGGACATGCACCTAGTCATCCTGGCGGGGCTGGTGGCCCTGCGAACTCACACTCTCGGAGTCTTCCAGCATCCTTGTGGTCTCCTGCACTTCAGGGGCACTGGGAACCACCACTGGCATAGGAGGCCGGCTCCTTCCTAAAGTCCCAATGGAGGCCGTCTTCACCGAGTGAATGTGATGATTTAGAGCTGAGGGGGAAAGGGCACCATCAGGTGTGTGGCTGAGCTTGCTCCCCCAGACCTCACAAGGATACCCAAGGTCCAAATGCTGCTAAGGGTGAGGGATGCACCCAGACCCAGGGCAGAGATCCTGCTCTGAAAAGGCCCTGGAACAAGATGGCAGGAGGGAGAAAGCAGGGCATCCAAGAGGCCAAATGTTCCATTTGGCTTTAGAAAGCTCATCTCCTAGTCCAGTTGCTCTCAAAGTGTGGTGGCCCAAGGGCCCCTGGCAGGATATCTGGGAGGTCAAAACTCTTTTCATAATCATGCCAAGACAGTTTTTGCCCTTCCACCAATGGTACAAAAGCAACAGTGGGTAAAACCGCTGGAGCCTTAGCACAAATTAAGGCAGTGGCACCAAACTAAAGTCATTCACGGACATGCATACTTGCAAGTTTAAAAAGAGCCAGTTTAAGATCATCGTTAATGAAGTAGCAAAAATTATGTTATGAAATCTCAACCTTGATTACACATCTTTTAAATATTCTAAAATGGAAACATGGGTAAAATACTTCTGCTGTACACCAAAGCATAACAGCTGTCTTCAATAAAGGGACTTGTAATTGAGTTGTGAGCCGAACTGCTGCTTTCATCACGAAACATCAATGTTAGGTCAGAGAAAGACTGACACACAAACCGGTTATTCAGACTTGAGCATTTGGCAGATATTTTCTAGAAAGTGAATGAAGTCAAGTCAGTCACTTCAGGGAAAACAACGGACAGTATTTATTTCCAATGATAAAATTTAAGTTTAAAGTGAAAAATCAGAATTTTGAAAAACTTGTATCTGCCACCATGAGCTTGAGAGCTTCCCAATACTTCCAGACATTGGTGATATTAACAAATGTATTTTTAGATACTGTTTAACAAAATGTATCAAAATTCGGAGGATCTGTGTAACTTAGTGAACCATTACTTTCCAAAGACCAACGTGATGTTCAGCACCACGCATTCAAAGTACAAGATATATGGATTTATTGGAACAGACTACAAATAATTATATGGTTTCTGATTCCACATTACAAACAAACCTATAAGAAACTACAACTTGTTGAGTTTGCCGTAGTTATCAAAAAAAGAATATCCACAGTTGTCTTTAAAGGTTATAAAAATAATCTTCCCTTTTCCAACTACATATCTGTGAGGCCAGATTTTCTTCAACCAAAACAACATATTGCAACAGATTAAATGCGGAAGCAGGTGTGAGAATCCAGCTGTCTTCTATTAAGCCAGACATTAAAGAGATCTGCAAAAATATAAGACAATGCTACTCTTTTATTATGAAAGTTATTTTTCATGAAAAATATGCTATTTATCTTAACATGATAGATTTATTGCTATTTTTAAATGAATAAAATAGTTTTAGAATCTGTTTTGATTTCTAATATGGTAAATCATGATAGTTACGACCCATGTGAAGTAAAGCTCTTGTGCAGCTGCAACAGCTTGTAAGAGTTAAAAAGCGTCCTGAGACCAGAAAGCTTGAAAACCAGTGATTTATTCTGAAACAAACCATCATAATAGAGAAAAATGTGAAAGAGTAGGAGGCAGAAAGCACGCCTTGGAGGTGAGAGGGCTTTTGCTGAGCTGGGTGAACTCGAGGAGTTAACTTTCCTTCTGCAGGGTTATTCCTCCACCCTAAGGTTCTTGCTTGTTTCCAAGTCTTGGCCTCCCTGACCCTTCTCCAGCTGGCAGGAACCCTATGGAGTGAGGCAACTCTGGGAGGAGGCTGGGCAGACCACATCTGTTGTTCATACCCATGCCACTGGCTTTTACCGCCAAGGACTCTGCACCCAAAACACAATTCAGAAAATCAGCCCTTGCTCCCCGCCAAATTATTCTCTGGTTTATATATGTTCCCAAAGGAGGAGCCCTTACACTCCCTGAGAGGGGCAATGCACCCTGCAACACTAAATTGCAGGGATAAGCTTGGAGAACATTTGCTTTGCTCCTCTGCAAAGAAGAGGTGACTTGCGCCATAAGCTGGAGCCAAAGGGCCCCTCCAGTGGTGCTGCTGTCCCCACTCACCTTGCTGGGATAGTAACGGTGTGCTTGGCAACGCTGGATCATAGGTGGGAGGACCTGGGGGAGGGATTGCTGGCACAGCAAAGCTCTTCAGTGGGTGGGAAGGGCGAACGTGGGCTGTAGGAAGACTCTGGCCTGAATCTTCCTCTTGGGAGCTGGCCAAGTAAGAGGAGCTGGTAGCACCTTCAGGATCCTGGTGATCAGCACAGCATGTCTGAGACGAGGAGGCTGGCATGGTGTCAGTGCTGGGGGTGTTTCGAACAGATTCTACAGCAGGAAAGTCCAAATGTTAGCATTTATTTTACCATTGAACATATGCACATTCCAGGGTTCTGGCTACCTCTAAGGGCTCCTGAAACCAGCTCAATAAGCACTTAGGATCAATGCTAGTCCAAGGGATCATGGATTAGCACCACTGTCAAGGCTAAGTAAGAACAGTCTAATCTAAGAGTCCCGAACAATTTTGTCAACCAGATGCTGGATTTGTTTCACCTACACAACCAAGTGGTCACAATTTTACAGATTTAAAATTCTTCTCAGTACTCACTATGGAGCACATATCAATGTTCCTGAGATGTTGTCTATTAAGATGTAAATAAGAAGAAAGAAGGGACTTCCCTGGTGGCACAGTGGTTAAGAATCCGCCTGCCAGTGCAGGGGACACGGGTTCGAGCCCTGGTCTGGGAAGATCCCACATGCCGTGGAGCAACTAAGCCCGTGCACCACAACTACTGAGCCTGTGCTCTAGAGTCTGCGAGCCACTACTGAGCCCATGTGCCTAGAGCCCGTGCTCTGCAACAAGGGAAGCCACCGCAATGAGAAGCCTGCGCACCTCAGTGAAGAGTAGCTCCCGCTGGCCGCAACTAGAGAAAGCCCGCATGTAGCAACCAAGACCCTACGCAACCGTAAGTAAGTAAGTAAGTAAATAAATAAATAAATAAAAGGAAGAAGAAAAGAAAACTGAAAATGTCAGTCACTGATTGACAGTCTCAGAGACTAGCCTTTCACAGACAACATGTCTTACCACCAAGACTGGCTGGGTACCTGACAAGGACCAGCTCTGCCTGCGAGGCCTGGTGGTCAGTGCAGGAGAGGCACACAGGCCCTGCACGCTCTCTGGCTACTGTGCACACCCTCCCCTGAGCAACAGCCCCACAGCTCAAGTGAGACCTGGACAACCAAACAGTCCAGAGGTCTGTAAATGGCTTTAAGATCATGCCATGAGGTATTTGGGGGTCCAGAGAAAGAAAAAGCCTGGAGACGGGGAAAACTCAAGAACATGACAAAAATCTCAAAATATGTGAAGAGGGGTCAGAGTTGTTCTGGAAGGCAGCATGGGGGGTAGTAAAAGCACTGTCTTTGGAGTCAGACAGACCTGAACCCTAATCTCTACAGACAGGCTGAGCGAACTTGGCAGTCACCAAATCTCTGAATCTGTTTCTTCACCTATAAAAATAGGGAGAATAACACGTAATTCCCCGAGAATTAATTAAGAAAATGTATGTAAAGTGGTATACACAGGGTTTGAGTAATTGATAAGGTTCTTTTCTTCGTAAACTACCCGAGTGCTTACTCTGAGCCAGGCACCATGCTAAGTGCTTTACACTCATTAGCTCATTCAATTCTCCTAGTAACTCATTAGACACTGGGAGGTTAAGCACCGCCCAAGGACACAGAACCAACGGGGCAGGATTCCGAATCCCTGCCCGAGTCCCAAGTCCATGCTCCATCCAATACACATCACACTGCTCTTCCATGCCCAATACCACCTGTCCCCCGACTCTGCAGGGGCAGAAGCAGCACCAAGTCCCAGGGAGACCATATGAGGAAGACCTTTCCAATAGTGTGAGCTGGTGCAGATCACCATCCCCACCCTGAGGAGGGGTCTGGAGGATACCAGCTCAGGGCCATAGGCTGCACCAGGTAGCCTGAAGGAGGGCCTCCCTTGATTCCTAGAGTCCTCAACCTTGTTAAGGAAAATAAACCCTTTTAAGCAGTAATGCATGAGCAACCCGCAGAAATCCAACCTTTCCCTGCCTTTGTTGCTGAGATAGCAATGAATCTGTTCCCTTGGGCTCTCAGGAGATGGGCCATGGCAGTCATGAGTGCTACTCCCTTAACTTAAAGGCCTTGGGTCCCAGCAATGAGGGACTCATACACCCTCCCCAAGTGTTGAGAGCCTGGCTGTGATAACCCTCGCAGGCCTAGGTCACTTCTTGTCCTTTCCAGGGGTACGCTGAGGATCTCACTTCTTATGCTTGCTCAGGTCAGCTATCACCACACCTGGGGAGCTGCTGGTCCCACCCTGTGTGATCCTGGGCCGGGTGGAAGCTGGTTAGCGAGGGTTACAAGGATGAGGAGAGAGAAAGCAGGCTCTAGCCTGGACCATGTCCGACTGTACTGGCAGATATGTTAGGTCAGCTCTGGGCACACAGGCCTACCTGGGATGCCGCAACTGCCTTCATTTGATGCATATGCTTCTGAGGGCCAGAAATGGTGGGAAACGTGAAAAAGGAAGAGAGGGTTGCCTACATGAATCAGAGTGTGGAGCAACTCCAGAGGGCACCAGCACACTGTATTCTCTGTGAAGGGTGTGCCCTGAAACTGTGCAACACCTCTGGCCCACGAGGGAAAGTACGTTGTAACTAAAATTTCTGCTTTGGTGAGGGACCCTACTTCCCGACTGACCTCTCAGAGTTGTCTAAGACACACAAAGTGAACAGTGGCCAAGCGCTTGGGCAAGTGGAAAGCACGCTTTCTGCATCAGGTGGTAGTGACATAGTAAATGTCCAAGGAAAAGACACAGCCAATGCCCTCCAGAGCAGAGATGGCCCTGGACAAGGTCTAGTCATGCCAAGCCCACATCTACAGGTCTGTGGTAATACTGGGCTCTAGAAACACAGGAAAACACAACAGGAGGAGAACTCTGATCACTTCTAGATACCTGCTCTACATTTCAAATCCATCTTCAGTGGCTCCATTACAAGTTTTATCTTCTTTTATCTCCTCTGGTCATTAAAACAGGAAACCCTTTAGTGGTACAAATAGTTACTTTTCCTCTTTTCGCTTTCCGCCTGAATCCATACAGAACCAAGCTTTTATCAACACTGGACCACTTGGACGAGGGGTGGGCGAGAGCCCTATGCTTCTTGCCAACCTTCAACCCCCTCCTTGTCCAAGAGGGAGGAGGAGGGGGCTGATCTGATGGGAAGACCCTGCCATGCACTTAGGTAGGCCCATATCCCAGTGGGTGAGGCCTTTCTGCCTTTAAAAATGGAGAAACAGAGTCGGGACACAAAAACCACTTTCTAAGAGCAGGTTTGGAGGGCTGCTTTCTTGTCTGTTCTATCTGAGATTATGTCTGTGAGGCAGCCTTTGGTTTTCCATAGCCTCCTGTAGACTGTCTTTCCCTAAAGGCAGGACCCCACACCTGGATTTGGAGGGAGGGAGAGACCAATTTTAGACATGAGTTCAAGCAGCATTCTCCAAACCAAGTAAAGGTTTGGGAGTAGATAACTTTCGGAGTTATCAGGCATCTCTTAATAAGCTCTGACCTCCATTTGATGCTTTGGGTATGTTTATAATTGATCAAAACGTAAAGGAGGAAGGGATGTTACCGGCAACCCAAGCTTCTAGCACGAAGTTTTGAGGCTCTTTTAAAATGGAATTCACTTGAAATTCCCTTATTTTCCAGAACTACCAAAACTTAGTTCTACTAGTAACATATGTAACTATTAAAAGACAAGTTTCAAATGATGGAAAAAGAGAACACTGTATAGATGAGAAGTGGGTTTTTTGCACCTTAAAACTGAGAAGATGGAAATTAATTTTCAATTAATGAGGAACAGTATTTATTCCATTTGCTGTCCTCTCACCTTCACTTTTTCTTCCTTAAAACTGTTTCGATAAAGCTGTTTCTTAAGATTTCCAAACTGGGACATGTTAGTCTGGCAATGTATATCTTTAAATACACTGCAGATTGTTAGGCTAATTTCCTATCTATTTTTAGAGATGATCTATGCCTGTGAGCCCTTTCTAATTTCAGTAATCCACTAGGCAACCTGAGGTTTACAATATGCACAAGCTCAACATGGCCACTGGCCCTGCTGTCCCCAGGTGTTGCTCTTACTTTGGTACATGGCAGAAGTAAGTAATTAAGGCCTAACATTAGAACTACCTTATGGCTGCCCTAAGAACCTTCCCAACATTAGGCAAAGGCAACATCTAGTGTCTGAAAATCACCCAGAATACATTTTCCTTTCAAACTGGAGGATTAAAAAAATAAACAAACTGAAAATATGACGGAATTAAGATGCAAGATGATGGAACAAGACATGGTTATGTGATTAGAGTTACATTTTTACTAAAACAACACCTTGCCCTAAGCACTTAAAACGTAGGGGAAAAAAATGGACTGAATTTTATAGAAACAAATTTGAGTCAGTAACAGAAACGTTATGATAAACAAATAACACTGAAAAAAAAATCCAAGTCGTTCTAAGCAGGGCAAGTCCTCCCCATTGCAGCCTGCCGATGCTTTTTGGAATGCTTTCCACCTGGGGCTCCATCCTCATCTCTCACCTGTGGAATTGGCCCTGTCTGAAAGGGACATGGATGTGCCAATGGGCCATGAGCTGCCCGGGTGGTAGAGATGACTGCGAGCTGGAGAAGCGAGGCTGCTGGAGTGGAAATGATGGTGAGGGTTATCGAGGGAATGGATGGGATGGGCACTAATCACAGCTGTGAATGAACACAAGACAGAGAAATGCTTAACATGCTTGCACAGACACACACATATCACAGTTCAAGAGCAGTTACCGCATGCCCCCCTCCCATACCGTACGACCACTTCCTTGGCTTTTTGGTGGCAGGTGGCTGAATTTGGACAATTAGCCATGGGTTTTATACTTGCTTTAAAAAATCAACACACTCCTATGCATATGTCTCTAGATATAACACAGAAAGAAAAAACCCTGATGATTTTTACTAAAATGTTAACAGTGATTATCTTGTGGGGAAGAGTGGTGAAGAATTTTTTAAAAAATTTCTTTTGGTTTATCTTTATTTTCCAATTCTTCTACAATAAATATGGATTATGTGAGTTATTAAAAATATCTCCTTGAATATGTCATAAAATATAAATCCATAAGCAAACAAATGGTGGTTTGGGTATCTATTATTTTTTTCTCTTGCTTAAAAAGATAGAAGTCCCTTTTCCTTTGAGTATATTCCTAATTCATTCTGTCTTTTCTTACTTGCTGAATGAAGCATGAAATAGGTATTTAGGCTGAATGAATAAGTAGCTGTTTAATCAGCTTTCATCTTAAAAGGAATGCCAGTGGAACTGAATTCTTACGTTACAATCTAGTACTAAAAGCATGAAACACAGGCCTAGGGCACCATCTCTTCCTGCTTTCCAGTCTGGGAGCTCAGCCACATCCATTCACATATTAAAAGATAAACGGATTTTTCCTAAATTGCCTCTTTCCTTCCCACACTGGCTAAGGAATTCAATTTGCTGCATTTAGCAAACAAATCCAAAATTTCACACAGATGTTCCACATACAACTTTCTATGAAGACAAAGTGCTTCTTTAATGAGGCTTCATTATCAATCCCAGAGATGCAAACAAACAAAATCAGAAGCCCAGTTGGGATAGAAACTTTTCTTAGGTACTCCCATAGAGTAGCTGGAGAAGCAGAATGTTTAACATCAAGATAACCAGCTCTAAATCCCCCAAACAGGTAAACAGGCAGGGTTGGCTAGGAACACATGGCATCTTTTTATTCTTCCCTTTAGGCAAGGACTTCACAAACTTTGTGATAAAACTTAATTTGCCTTTGGAGTCTCTTAAAATACCTTGTCACCAAGAATCTCCCTAGATCTTTGGGGAGCCACTCAACATGACTGGTGAAGAAAATCCCAGTCAATAAAATAGAGGCCTTGGGCTTCCCTGGTGGCGCAGTGGTTGAGAGTCCGCCTGCTGATGCAGGGGACGCGGCTTTGTGCCCTGTCCAGGAGGATCCCACATGCTGTGGAGCGGCTGGGCCCGTGAGCCATGGCCGCTGAGCCTGTGCGTCCGGCGCCTGTGCTCAGCAACGGGAGAGACCACAACAGTGAGGCCCGCATACCGCAAAAAAAAAAAAAAAAAAAAAAATTGAGGCCTTTATTCTGCAGCTTTCTCTTTGCCACGTGCAAACAAGCAGGTGGCACAACCAGCCAGGGACCCTGGAGCAGTGCTGCCCCTCCCCCCTTAAGGCCTGGGAAACTAATCAGGGGCTTTCCCTGCCCTCAGGGATCAGAAGCTGCAGGTGGTCCCTTGGAATAAAATACAACTTGGAAAATCTGGCTGAGCAGAGGTCTTAGGGCAGCTTGGCAGTCAGCATCTCCTCCAGGGGAAGACAGGTAGTTTTCAGAAGTAGGGTGTTTCAGAATCAATGTTTTCCAGAATTAAGGCCAGGGTGAGGGAAAAAGCCTCCTGATTTTTATCTAGGAAGTGCAACTTGAAAGTGTTTTAGGTACAGAGAACTCTCACAAAAGAAAAACAAAGTTGACTTTAAGGCACTGCCAGTTTTTCCAAATTAAAAATGTGAAAGTGTCTGTCTAGAATACAGTTGGCAATCATTAGCTGTTAGCTGAATCAGAATCCAAAGCTTCTGGTGCAAGGCCTTTGATGGAACCTCATCCTGACACCACCAAGCCTTTCTCAGCAGTGCTCAGACATTTAAAGCCATGGTAGGTGGATGGGGGATGCAGACTCCAGGGAATCCCAGGTTGTGAAAAAGGATTGAAGCCACGTGGGGAAAAGCATATCTCTAAACCTGAAGATCACAAGTACATCACAAGTAAATTTGGGTTTCAGATTCTTGAATTAAAGGATCCACTCACCCACCCAACTGCTGAGGCACAAATTAAGTAATACTGTACCTTTATGCATACTCCTTCCCACCACCAAAAAAAGAAAAAAAACAGGAATGCTATCAACTAGTACAGCACATCTTTTCTGTGTAACATATTTAAAAATAACAAATCTAGGAATAGGGTTAGTCAAATTTTACAAGTTTTAAAAATAAGCCAGTTCAGGCAAGAACTAAAGTCTTATATAAAACAAACAAGTAAGTAGTCAAGCTACCATCTTCTTATAAATCAAAAGCAACTGGAATGGAATAATTTACTCTTTTTGGACACTTCTAAACCTGGGGACCCCATCCAGGGCACCTCTGATGAGAGGGAAACTGGTTTTCCTTGCACACTTCGAAGTACAGGCTCCTCTTTTTTTTTTATCGTGGACCCTAAGCAAAAACTACTTTGTGCAGAAATGACCTGTTAGCAAATGGGCCCTTTCCCTTTCAAAGCTGATTTTGAGAATCTCGTGCAAGTGACAGCGTGTGTGCAGACGTTTACACTCTCAGGGATTCCACCAGTTTCCAAGTATATGGTACCATCTTCTGTGTGTAGGATATCTGTGATTATTTAAAATCTCTGTCGTTTGTTAACAGGGATGGCTAATAGTTCTGAAATGGGACATCTTTTAAGAAATGAATAAAAATCCAAAAGCTCATTTAGGTTAAATTAAAAAGTGATCTTTCAGGATTTGAATCTAGGCACCTGACAGTGTTAATGTTTACTAACCTACTGTTCAGTCCAGAGCAAATAACTTCAAGATCAAATAGTTTTTTAAACTTGATATTGGTAGGCAAGTGACTTCTTATCTCTCTAGAATGGCACAGAGGACCCTCAACCTCAAGTCCCATTGTGCCAGCTAATCTGAAAGGCTTCCCCACCTTGAAAACAGTAACAAGGGAGAAGAAACACTAGTTTAAAAATATAATTGGTCTGTCCCACTGCTTTTTGGTTTTTTAATCATGACAGTTAACTTATTTTGAGTTTCAAATATTATTAAAGGAGGCTGGACAATTTTCATGCTTATCAAAGTGAAGCATGGGTCAGATAAGGTTGAAAAATATTCCATGCTGTCCACCTAAAACTCCTCTAAAATATAACGTCTATTAACTAAAAAAAAATTCCGCAGGTGCCTATCAACACTGATTATGTATCGGGAAGCCTAAGGAATACTGTGCCATCTTCAGCCCCATCTCTCCTGCAGAGACTCGATGTACTTTTAAAGAGACTGGTCACTTCCCTAATGCCTGGGAGGCTTGTGGAAATTGGCTTCTTAGCTTATTTGCACTGAAATTAAAGAAGTTACTTGCAAGAATAAATATTAATTGCAAAATATGGCAAATGCTTGATACTTATTCCCTCATGGTGCCAAAGCTTTGGTAGATTATTTTTTGTGCTAGGATCAAGTGAAGTCAAAGAGATCACTGATAGTTGTTCCCCGACATGACTGGATAGATTGGCAGCCCTCGGGAAAAGAGAAGCTTTTAACTTACGCTGGGGTGGCTGGGAGTCAAAGGGCATCATCATTTTTGGTCTCATTCCCCGCCTTCCAGCCAGTGTAGACATGCTGTCCTCTGATTCATGCCCTAGACATCAAATATGGAGGCTGGTTACAAACATGTGCCCTAGGCCAATGAGCAGCCTCAGCAGTAAAACATTTCAGGTGGGGGATTCAGGACTCACAAACAACAATGGGACAAGGTGGTTCTGCAGGAAGTGAAATAAAGAGGAAAATGACCATTAGTGCATTACAGGAGTCCCTGTTGAGGCAACTCAGTTGACACAACGCTGCCTACCATGCTTCACTGCAGGTCTGTGAGGGAGAGCAGCCAGACCAAGAACATGCTGAACACCACAATGAGAGCTGGGGCCCCACTGAAGGGATGGAATGAAATGCACAGACATAGGCTACGTTGTCTCAAATGCTTGAGTGTCAGGTTGGTGAACACGATGAGAGACCTAACAGAGCTAGAAGACTGTCTCATCTGGGTATAGAACCTCTCCCCCCTAACGAGCTAGCTATTCTTCATCAGAGGTTGATCCTGTAACACACATTTCTTTAAACCTAACCTCGTATAGGAATCACCAAATTAAGGCAACCTTACAAAATGGAAAATGGTTTAAATGAAAATAGTCTCCAAACATTTGGGAAAAACCTGAACCTCTATATGAATTCCGCCTTTGATGGATGTTGCTGTCCATGGAATTGTCAACTGGTGTGATATCTTGAGAGTTACGAGGAATTGGAGTATCCGTCATGATGGGGTTTGGGTCTGGAGACTTATCAATGGGTTTCAGCTCCAGTCTCTCATGATGGATCCAGAGGTCTGGGGGTTTGACATCCTTGGAGTTCCCTTTGTACTTGTGGGAGCCATTCACTGATTTGCAAGCAGCTCGTTTCCTAGGTACAAAATTAAGAGGATTTTTAAAAGTAACTCTTGAATATTATTAGTCAAAAGGTTTCAATGATTAAAACTTCCCTTCTGAGAGATGCTTCAGGCAAAATCAGAAACAAACAAGAAAAACAGAGTCAAGAAGTTTCCTTCTGGGAATAGTAAGTGTATCACTGCTTTGTCCACATTATTTAGAGGTATGTACATGGGCGTATTTGAATAGTGCCTTGTGACTTTTTTGAGTATAAGCAGATTAGACAGCATTTTTGAATCAAATAATCTCTAAAGCAAAAGGTTTCTCCCCAAGTTTCCAATCAATAGAGAAAGGACACCATTAACTAGAAATATAACAATGGAGTAGACATAGAGTCTGCTTATAAAGGAGGAAGGGAACTCCATAGGTAACTCAAACTAGGACCACCACTGGGTTAAGTCAAGAATGGGGATGACAGTGTCGACTTTTCTGTGCCTTAGTTTCTCCATTAAGTCACTCACCCAACTCAATAAGCATTTATTAGGTACCTACTGTATGTCAGGCCCTATGCTGGATTGCTGTACCCTCAGCACTTCTGGCCAAGTGAGGAAGACAGACATTGAACTTTTTTTTTCTTTTTTTTTTGCGGTACGTGGGCCTCTCACTGTTGTGGCCTCTCCTGTTGCGGAGCACAGGCTCCGGACGCACAGGCTCAGCGGCCATGGCTCACGGGCCCAGCCGCTCCGCGGCATGTGGGATCCTCCCGGACCAGGGCACAAACCCCCATCCCCTGCATCGGCAAGCGGACTCTCAACCACTGCGCCACCTGGGAAGCCCTGAACTATTATTTTTAAATGTTCTGAGCTTAATGAAATGCCAAGTGTTATAGTAACCTCTTAATAGCTGGACATATAGTGGACAGGAAAAATGTGACGGAAAAAGTGACATTTAAGCTAAGACCTAAATGGGACAGGGCAGAAGGTGCATTCCAGGTGGTAAAATCAGATTATGTCAGAGCCCTGAAGCACAGAGCAACAGCCTGGTGTGCTAGAGGGACTGTAAAAAGTCCGGAGTGGTGGCAGCGTATGAACCATAGGGAGAATGATATGAAATGATGCTGGCAAGATGGGCAGGGATTAGATCATAAAGGGCTATTAGAGCCACGCCAAGAGTCTGCAGTTCCCTCTATGAGTAAAGAGAAACCCCTAAATGGTTTTAAGCAGGAGAGTAAGGAGATTAACTCTGAGTTAAAAATTTAAACCAACTGGGATGAGAAGAACGGATTTGAGGGGTAGGGGACAAAACAGGAGGGCAGTTAGGAGGCAACTGCAATAATCTCAGCCATGACTGACGGTGGCCTGGGACAGTGAGGATGGAGGAAAGAGAGAGATTTGGCAGTTATTTAGGAGCCCAAAATGACAAGACTTGGTGAAAAAATGGATGTGGGAAAGGATAGGAATAAAGAAACAAGAGGAATAAAGGATTATGCCGAGGTCTCTGGCTTAAGCCATTTACTAACACTGGGGAGAAGCAGGTTTGACAGAAAAGATTATAAATTGTTTTGGACATGCTAAGTGGCTCTGAGACACTACAGATGAAACATAAAACAGGTAATTGGTTCTGAGACTGAGGCAAGCCTGAGACTCAGAAGAGAGAGGCCTTGGCTAGAGAGAGGAATATGGGAGTAGCTGAAATTCAGAAGTAAATGAAGCCAAAGGAGCAAGTATCACTAGGAGAGAGCGTAGAAGGAGAAGAGAGTAATTCTAGGACCAGGCCCTGAGGAATGTCTGTATTTGATGGCTGAGTAGATTGGAGAGGCTGCGAAAATGAACACACAATCACGGAATACAAGAGAATGTATTCAAGAGAATGTTTCAAGAAGGAAGGAGTAGTTGACTGTGTTAAGTGGGGAGAGATTAAGATAAGGACTGAAAAATCTCCTTTGGCTTTAGCAATATGGAAGTCACTGGTGACCTCAGCAAAAGCAATTCTGCTGAAGCAGTAGGGGCAAAATTTGGATTAGAAAAGGACTGAAGCATGAATGGGCAGTGAAAAAATGGACAAGTGAGTGTAGACAAGTATTCAAGAAATTTGTGGTGAAGGGAAAGACAGAGATTTGTAAGTGGTTGGTGGTAAGGACCATGCAACAGAGGAAGGGTTATGATTATTTCTTAAGATAGAAGAAGTTTGAGCACACTTACATGCTGAAGGGGCAGAGCCAACAGAGAGTGAGAGGTTAGCTGTGCTGGAGAAAGGGACAACCACAAGTACAAGGTCCTAGAAAGCAGGAGACGCTGGGATCCAGACGGTAAGTGGAGAACTGGTCTCCGACAGGAGGAAGGGGGAGAAAATGATTATTCCCGACATGGAAAGGTTTTCAGATTTGATGGCGGAACACTGAGATAGTTCTCATCTTTTGAGAGCGAGGGGGCTACAGAGGGATGTGCTGAGAAACTAAAAGGGGCTAGACTCTAAATACTCTGTCAGCTTTGAGGTTGTAAGAGTCTATAAACAGCTACAATTGAAATGGGAGGTGTCTCAGGTACTAAAGAGGAAGAAAAGTACTGAGAAAAGCTCACATATTTTCGATGGTCAATGGAACACTTGGAAAGCAGATCACTGGGGGAGGAGGAGGGGAAAGCTCTATGAAGATTTGATACGATTCTTTTAGCCAAAGGGACGCAAATTATAGGACCTGCAGATGCAAATACAGAGTACAGAGCCTATTACAAACTCATTTTCCCACCTCTCAATCTGAAGACTAAGTACTTTATTTTTTTATTTACTTTGAATTTTAAATCGCCCCAAACATTAAGGAATGTTGTCATTTTGTTTTTCCAGATTCTTTTAAATAAAGATCTCAAGATGTCTAAAACTAGATGCAAAATCAAGTTCATAGAGATAAATGGGAAATGCTGAAAAAGCAGCTTATAGAAAAGTTGTAGCGTAGAAAAATGTCATCTCTGAGGTTTTAAAGAGAAACCGTTTTCTACAGTCAAAGGTAGGTAGGGAAAGCTGTAAGAGGCAGCCATCAAGAGGCTTATAAAGAGAGCCCCCATCCTCTTGGAAACATGATGAAGGTGAGCTACAGAAAGCTATTTTATTTCGGCAAAAGAAAGATTAAAAACATCACAGAACCTACAGAAAATGACATAAAGCCATAACTAGTAGCAGTTAGATGGTAGCTTGTACTTGCCCTCTATTTTGAAAACAAACAGATTTATTGTTATTAAATCCTCGCATCCTTGCCTTGGGCAGACCAGGTCTGATGATAATCACACAGACGTGAATTTCTCTTTTCTCTTTATGGAGCAATACCTCCATCTTACGATCCTTTAGGATACTGCAACTAAAGTTGTTCTATTACCCATACTGTGTTTTTGCTATTACGGGTAACTCAAGAATGTCCTTTTTTATGGCATCTGTCTTGCTGGCCAGAGATAGGAGTAGAATATGACCTAGGGTCAAGGATTCTCTCAGGTTCCGGAGTGCAGGCTGTTATCAAGCACCATATTATGGAATCACCTTGCTAGCTCCTCTAGACAATTAGCCGCAAGCCTCAAAATCCCAGAGGAGTTCAGAGCTAGCAGCCACCTGACCTCTCTGCTAATGTGATATGCTGATTATAAGTAATCCTTTCTCGTTCATTTAATCAATACATCTCTCCACCGCATTCCCCCCACCCCACCTCCTGCAGTCCCAACCTCAACTTCTACACTTGGTAGCACTTCTTTAAAAATACTCCTAAGCTTAGATTTAGAGTCTATGGTCTATGGTCTCCGTCCATCTCAGCTGACATTTGTGCCATGAAATTCCACAAACTCCTGTGCATCTGGTTCACTGTGTGCACAGAGACAGTCTTCCAAAGGGGCCCCCAACAAGGCTGGACATTGTCCACTTTCCTCTCCAGATCGATTGTCTAATTGGCTCTGTGACTTGAGAGGTTGAGTTAAATGAACTACATCTACAAGGTAACTCTGTCCCTGGCTTCCAGTTGGTTTGGAAGGTAGAATGCACAGGCAAGACACTGGAAGGTAGGAGGTATTTTCTCTCCTGCCCCCTCACTGCTGGGCTAGAGGTTGGCAGTAGTTACAGTCCTACCACCCCACACGGTTCCTGTCGCAAGCCCTCTCCTGCTGCTTCAGATCCCTGAAAACAGCTCTCTCTTCATCAGAAAAAACCCTCACCCTTTTAAGGGTGACAGTGGCCTATCACTGCTGCTGGCCCTTGAACACTGCTGCCTAACGCTAACCCCACCTAGGACATTGTAAATGGTCCCTTCATTAAAGCCTCCTTCACCCCCTTTCAGTGTGCCATCTCTTTCCTGCCAGGACCCTGAATGACACACACTTAATAAGAGGAACCATTCTGCATTTCCTTTAAAAATATTTAAAACATCGCTTTTCACATATTTTATGTTTTAACTCTGTGTACAACTCCAGATACAGAAGTCACATAGAAGCAAAAGAATACGTACAAAAAAAATGTATGGGCTACAACTGGGGCTCCTTACTTTTTCTGGTGAGAAGTGGTACGCCTGGTGCAAAAGACAGCGATGATCACGACCACCACGATGGTGATGACGCCAACGGAAACGATGATGACCAGCAGCATGTTACTGTCTAGAGGAGAGGTGGGGCTTCCATGAGGGCTGTTACTGCCTGGAAAGGGAAAACCGTACGCTTGCTAGTGTTAGAGAATTCTAGCATAAAATCAGGCTACAGAACCGTCATGTCAGTATAGATACTTCTGTGAGCTTCTTGGTAACAGTCATCACCGTGCCTTGTATAAAAGTGCCTCATGAACACAGCCATCTCCACTAGATCATGAAATCTAGAGAGCGGAGTTTCTGCCCTATGCACAGTACCTTGCACAAAGCTGATGTTCAATAAAAGTTTCTCAAGTTATACTGAACACTGTGCTTGGACAAATAAGGGGGTCTGTCTCCTGGTGTCTCATGTTGTATGTAAATTCATTTTATAAAGCACCATTTGTGAATCATTTCAGTTTTCTGACTTGCAAAACTATTTAAAAAATGTACATTCATAGAAAACAAAAGGTTTTTTTCCAACATATAGATGTCTGCCATCACAAAAAAATTATTTGAAAAATAACATCTTTTTATAAATACACAGTCTATGCAGAGTTAATTTTCTTATTCAGTTTCAGGAAAAAGTATGTACATATGCATTAATTTGACAAATATTTATTGAGTGGTTACTATGAGCCAGGCATTGTTCTAGGTACTAAGGATGCAACAGTGAACAACAAAGATAGGTAGGGGTGGGGGCAGACAATAAACAAATAAGAAATTATTAGTTTGTAATAAGTGCTATGAAAAAATAAAATGAAGGTATATGATACAGAGTGACTGGGTGGCTATTTTAGATTGAATGGATGGGAAAAGCTTCTCTGAGGAGATGGCATTTGGGCTGAGATTTGAATGACATGAATGATCCCACCATACAAAGACCTGGAGGAAGAACATTCCATAGAGAGGGAATAGCTAGTGGAAGGATCCTATGGCAGGAATGAGCTTGGCACGTTCAAGGAAGAGAAAGGCAGCCAGTATTGCTGAAGCAAAGAGAGAGATGCAAAGTTAGAGAGAAGGAAGTGAGCAGAAAAAAGATGAAGGTGAGGCTAGAGGGGTGTGCAGAGGCCACATCATTTAGGACCTTGAAGAAACAGATTTTCTTCTTCCTATTATTGTTCCCTCATTGCTCACAGGATGAGGCTCAGCTTTTTATCAAGGCCTTTTGTAGTCTTGCTCTTCCATTTTCTGAAACATAGTTCTTTGCTTCCCACCTCGTTATAAAAGTTATGCATGTTCATATTATAAAATATGGGAATCCCTCTACACAGATCTAACCATCATGGATAGATGACATCTTTTCTTCTAGTTACTCTCTCTTATTGCCCTAACAATCAAAGCTGTACAATTAATAGGATGAGCTGTTTTGCTTAACTATTGCTAGTGACTAAATATTTAGTCACTAGAAGAAGTACTTAAGAAGAGTCATCCTACCCGTCTGGGATGTTGTGGAAGAAATTCCTACCATGAAGGTATGGCCTCCTACCCGTGTTCTTAGAAAAGCTCCTAAAGTGATTCTCATATACAGCCTGGCTTATAAACTTACGATCTAATCCAAACTACACTTATTGTGGGAATCCCTTCCATAACACTGGATTGGATTAGCGGACCTTTCACTTTTGATTCTATGATTTTATAGGCTACTAAGCACAGTCCTAAATGTGGGATAATTTTGGCAGCTTAAGAGCTTATTCTTCTACATTTGCTTTAATCACTTTTATCCTTCATTTCTGAGAAAAAAGTCAGCAGATAGACAACTTAAATTGTACACACTGAGCTTCAATAAAATAACATTTTTATATTTGGGAACGACTATGGAACTGGGAGCCAATACAATTAGACCATACTAGGGCCTTACATAAAACTTTTATTAACAGCAGTGCTGAGTTACTGGGTGGGGCAGGCACTGCAATCAGAGGCTGGGGAGCTGGGGTGTGGGAGGCAAGCAGAGGTGGTGGCGGCAGTTCTTTCCTGCATTCAACAGAGACAAATTCTCATTTAATTGCAGTTGACCTCTAACTTCTGAGCTGGCCAAAAGCTCCCTTTTAAAATAGAGTAAGAATGAGCTGCCAATGGGAGCATCATCCCTCCTACCAGGGACATTAAGGCTCACCTGGACTATTGCAACAGCTTCCAAACCACTCTTTTCTGACTTCATACTCGTGACACCCAACTCATTCTCCGCTGTCATCAGGGTAATAATAGTAGATACTCAATAAATGGAAGTCATAGTTTACCAGTAGTATCAGACATCTTACATATGTTACTTACATGAGGAAGCTCACATTTCTTAGCATCAGCACTTGAGCTTTTGACAGGCTGGTTCTAACCTACCTTCTCTAACACGAGACTCTCTATCCTGTCTCTAGGCAGTGTGATCCCTGGAGAAAGCAGGTTTAAAAAATTTTTTTTTAACATCTTTATTGGAGTGTACTTGCTTTACAGTGTTGTGTTAGTTTCTGCTGTGTAACGAAGTGAATCAGCTATACATATACATATATCCCCATATCCCTTCCCTCTTGCGTCTCCCTCCCACCCCTCTAGGTGGTCACAAACCACCGAGCTGATCTCCCTGTGCTATGCAGCTGCTTCCCATTAACTAGGTATTTTACATTTGGTAGTGTATATATGTCAGTGCTACTCCCTCACTTCGTCCCAGCTTATCCACCCCCCTCCCCATGTCCTCATGTCCATTCTCTACGTCTGCGTCTTTATTCCTGTCCTGCCCTTAGGTTTGTTAGAACCATTTTTTTTTTTTAAGATTCTATATATATGTTAGCACACGGTATTTGCTTTTCTCTTTCTGACTTACTTCACTCTGTATGACAGACTCTAGGTCCATCCACCTCACTACAAATAACTCAGTTTAGTTCCTTTTTATGGCTGAATAATATTCCATTGCACATATGCGCCACACCCTCTCTATCCATTCACCTGTCAACAGACACCTAGGTTGCCTCCATGTCCAAGCAGGCTGTTTTAAACTGCCATGCCTCCACACGTGCTTTTATTGTGTCCTAGGATGTTCAACCCCCTCCTCAACATTTAGCAATCTTCTCTGTGCCTTTTAAAATCTGGGTCAGAGATCATCTCTTCTACAAAGCTTTCTCTTTTCTCTATCAGGTAGTTTGTTACTCAATCCTCCTGTTCCTACAGCCTGTTACACAGAACCTGAACCTTTAGAAATATGTGTGAATAAATGAATGAATGCATAAATGAAAGATAAGACAAAGAAATAACTGCTTTTCTCACAGTCTTGAATATTATACTGTGGACAGCACATAAATATAACATATGCATCCCAGGAGGAGAAACTCATAAAGTCCTAGAACTCAGAGCCTAAAAATTTCTTGAAGCAAGCAAATTTGTCTGGCTCTCCTAAGAACTGGCTGATTTCACAGAAGTCTGGGCAATATCACTTTTTATTTAAATAGATACTGGAGACTGAGATAATTTTGTTTCCACAATTAGATCAGGAGTTTCCAGAGAACTAGAAACTCTTTTCCTTTCTCTTCCATATGTTTCTTTTTTTTTTTTTATTGGAGTAAAATTACTCTACAAGTGAGGAGACAGTAAGGGTCATTTCTAGTAACTACCTTTGTGGACATTTTGCCATCCTGGATTCCCACATCTGGTATAGAACCCCATGCCTTTCAGGCTGTGTGTGACAGTGGAAAAGGCACAATCTGAAGTCAGAAGACCTGGGTTTTGGTTCTAGGACTTCCAGCATATGTGGGTGGATCCAGGCACATTACCCCTCTGCTGAGTCTCTTAATGTATAAAATGGGAATAATGATACTTGTTCTCCCTGCCTCACCACAGTGTTATGAGGATCAAATGTGATTTCATGTGTGAAAGTAACTTACAAATGGTGACGTTCAGTAGAGAAGTAGGTGTCATCATTTAAGTAATTAGAAGGCATCAGCTCTTAGGATGGCTTGGAGACTGGTAATAATTTTTTAGAATTCCCAAACTAAAAACACTGCAGTAAGTAGTGTGGGGATAAATTAATGATTCCAAAGCATTTCTCTGCCTTGTTCTAGATGATAGCTAATCCCACTAAAGGGTTTATTTTTGAAAGCAAGATTCTAATTATTTTCTAGAGGCAGTGGGCAAAAGGAAGACTTGTTTGTTTAGAATTATTTTAAGCTGGATATGTGGGGAAACAATTTTATTTCTGGATCCTATAATGAATGAGTTTATAGTAATTCAGCAAACATTTGCCAGAAAATGCCTAAAGCCAGTTCTATTAAATAAAAAGAAATGAGTAACATGCTACAATCCACCACACAGGAGCTACAAAAAACATTTCAAGATTTCAAGCAGAACTGCATCATGCCCACAGGAGGCCAAAAAAGCCACAGGAAGGGCTTTACCGCTCATTGGAGGTTTGTAGTCGGATCCTAGGTCTGGCAGACGGCTTCCTTTCCCTGCAGACCCTGAGGCTGAAGAAGAAGAACTCATGTCAATAACAACCCAATCCATTGGTGTGACAAGTCTACTTCACAGCTAGCGAGTGTTTTCTACAAAAAAAAAATATTTTCAGTCTACTCTGTCCATGAGAAAAGGAAGTAGCACACACACAATGGGAAAATATAGCCTATTTGTGCAAAACAAACTAAGGTATAGCTTTCTATGCAATGAGGCATCTGAAAGTCTGACACCCTTGTTCCATGGCTGTACCTAGGGTGTAACAAAGCTGCCCCTTGCTGTTAAGGTTTCTCTAGCTCAGGAAACATTAGCTGAAATACTACCCAGAGCACTTATGGCTAAAGTAGCTTCTCATGGAAAAGGGACTAAGGGGACCAGTTAGGTTAATCTGCATTAAAGAAATGGACTCTTCCAAGGGACCGGCTATGTTGATCTGGCCTAGTGGGTGTCAGTAGCGTTTGGATTCTTTTCTCAAAATATAAAGCTGCCTTTCCAAATATAAAGTTACCCTAACGGGAGCAGGAAGGCAACTGGACATTCAAACTGGGTTCTCAGTTCTTGCTCAGTCAACCTAAATATCCAAAGATAAAAAAACCAAAGTCTTCCCTCTAGCTGCTCACGAAGGACACTGTCTCCTAATCCATCATCATGGAACATAACAAGTGAGGCTGCTGACCTTGGGCTTGGGACCACCTCATAAGCAGACCTCAGAAAACACAAATATCAGCCTTTTAGAAATTTATATTCTTGGTCTTGAATTTTATTCTTCACATTTATAGAAGAAGCTGCCTTGTAAAGCAAATATAAGGAGTCCGTCCCCAGTAAAGCAAAGGTATTCCTCAGTGCAAAGTCTGGGGCCAGAAGGCAGTCTCATGCTTCTTTTGAAGAAGTGTGCAAGAACTGCAAAGTAGAGCTGTTCCACATAGATAATACAGCACAGTGCGTAACCGACTGCCTGCACCGCAACACCGGCTCCATCACGCACTAACTGTTTGACTTTTGGCAAGTTACTTAGCTATTATTTTTGGGTCTTAGTTCCCTCATTGTAAAACAGTGATAATAATGGTACCTACTTCATGAAATGGTTGTGAGGATTAAATGGAAATTTAATCCTATAAAGTATTCTGAATACTGCCTGACACACAGTAAATGTTCAATAAATATTAACTACTAAATAAATCTTTAGGGAAGAATATAATCTTATCCTTTGCAGAGGTAAAGAGCATGAAGCTTCAGAAAACACTTATAAATGAGAGTTATTTCTACGAAATAAAGCTTGCCTGGAAATGCATAAACCAGACGTGTTGCTGTAAAACATTACAGCTAATATCAAGTACTGCTATAAATGATCAGACTTGGAGGAAATGGAAGAAATTAAAATCTGAAGGTTTCTGTATGAGTTCATTTAACGAATAAATCTAGAAATGAAAAGAGTATTTTCTATGTTTCCAGAAGCTCAAAACCCCCAAAGAAGGTCTTGGGTATCCAAAAGGGCATATTCTAGAATTTAACTCACAGTCCTTGACCCTTTCCCATTGTCCATACTTATTACTTTATCCCTTTACTTCTGATGCCGTCATTCCTCCCAAATGGCACACACCATATTTCAAGATTCCAGTTTTTCTTTTCACTGTGATAAGCTGGCAGAGATGAAACAGCCCTTGTAAGGCCCTTCATATTTAAGTGTACTTATTTGTCAGGTAGCCCACATTTAAGCCAAGCTATCCAGAGTAACATATTATGTAAATAATTGCCAATGAACACACTTTGCCAAGAAACCGATTGACTTAATTCCCATATTTCTTAACATTTTTCCTTTATATTTAACCTATGAACAAGAAATTCCAGGGATTAGCCAAACACCAAAAATAAATATGGGCAAAGAATTTTAACTACCAAAGGTGTGGCGTAGCTGAGAATTGCACCCTGGCTTATGGAGTGAAGTGAGGGAAGAACAGTGAGCACATTTATATTCTGTGCATATTCAGTATAGTTACTTTTCTATTCTCAGGCTTAAGTCAAAGGTTCTACCATGATTAGGGTGCCTTACACACAGACACACACACACAGACACAGAGGTATGTTTGCAGTTTCTCTAACATACAACAAAAGGCTCATTGAATGCAAACACATTTCCAAAGCCCTAAAACTTGAAATTTCAAATTTTGAATCTTCCTTGCCATTAACCAAGATCCAAAGACTCTGTATTTCTAGTAACTACTCCTAAAGAATAAAAGCAACCATCAAATTTACTTTTACTGCTCTTAGTATAGAAAACAGATACCTACTTTAGCTGACTTCCCAGAGATGAAAATCACAAAGTATAGTTACCTCTCCACCATAGCAATTGCAGTGAATAGACTACACTGACAATTTCAAGAATGGTGACACTGAGGCCCAAGCTTCCTAAACTTCCACTGTAAACTGTCTCTAACCTCTTTTAAAATAAGCAGATATATTTAAGAGAAGAAATGGAAAAACAGCTCTGAATTAAGCTTAAAACAAGAGAACAGAGACCACTAATTTTATCACAGATAATCATACAATTCAGTAGGGTACATTTGTAGATTTTCTGTTGGGGGGAGGAAAAGAGGGTATTCACTGAATTTGATTAAATTTTTCACTTAGAGATGCTAATAAAATTCTAGATGCTACAAATATGACAAATTGGTATGCTTGTTCTCATCATGTCCCGAATCCCTATCTGTGTTACAGAATTTCAGTATCTTAGCGCAAATGATAATCTGGCCCACACTTAAGGCCAATCTCCTATAGCTGCAGAAGTTTGACTCAGTTTTTTTCCTGCCAGTCTATTTAGCTCCTAAGTATCAATAGATTCCCCAGCTTTTCAGATACTCCAAGTGCCACAAACATGGACTCAACTCTACTCTGGCCAATAAATATTCGATTTTTAACACATGGTACTGGTACTGATTTTCAGGAAAAAAAACCCCCCAAAAAACCAAAAAGCTAATAATAGGTCACAAAAGAGAGGAAAGGAAAGAGAGGCCATCTACTCATTTACCTTGATCATTAGCCATTTTATCAGAGGAGTCCGCTAACAGGCCAAGCACAGGGGAAGAAAAAAACAAGAGCAAGGATCACAAGCTTTGAAGATGGGACAGGCAGAATTTTTAAAGGAAAAAATAAAAACCCACAAACTTCCAAACACGTTGAGTCTTGTTTTTCGTACTAACAGAAAAGAAATCCATGTATGGTTTCCACACTTCCAGACTCAGTCCCCGACTTTTATTCCTAAGCTTACTTGGTTCAATATTTTACCTTCACTTTCTTATCTAGAGTTTTCTCTAAAGGGCCCCTTTTGAGAAAAGCCTCAACCCTTTCTCTCTACAAAGGTCCATGAATAAGCCTTTCAGGTTAAGAGCCTGCATGTGTTGAAAGAGAATCATCCATCAAATAAACATGCGACTACGCTGTATGGGAACCAAGAGAATCCCATCTGATCTGACTGGTAAGAACTTTTAGATCACTGCAATTCATCTGCCTCAAACAGCCTGAAGTCAAGAGTTCCCCTGTAAATTATATGGTTAGGTCAGTAACCTAGGGAACACTGATTTGGTAGTCAGTGGGTGGGATCATTTTGAGATTAATGCTCACACTGTGGCTCATAAGCGCATCATCAGAACTTCCTGTATCATCCACAGTCTCTACATGCTAAAGTGACATGTGCACGCATAGCCCCACTCAAGAGACACACAATGAAACACTCTGTTTGGGAGGCTTTACCTTTGGGTGTTCTGAACTGGACAGCTTCAGACATGGGCCCCATGCCCTTTGAGTTCCGAGCTTGGATTTTGAAGTAGTATGGTGTGTCAAGTGTTAATTCTTGTATCTGGTGAGTCAGCCTGTTTCCCACAACAGGCTCAATAACCCAGTCGTGTATCTCTGCATTCACGTCCGTACTGTAATATATGATGTAACCTATCCAAAGGAATTAATGGGAAAAGAAATCTTATTCCTGCTTTTTCTTTTGCAATCAGTTAAGTCAATAAAGATATATGTTACAGCATATACAAATAGAGAACTAGTTACAGATTAAATTAGCAACGGTAAAAAGCATTTTAAATGCTACACTAAACATAATATAGATAAAACCACAATTTCAACAGTGCCAGACTGTAAGTTACCATCTATATCTGCAGCTGAAGTAATAAAAGTAAAGGTAAAAATATAGGGTTAAATATTCTCATAAGCTAGGAAATTATATAAGGGAAATAACCTAATCATCATTCCAACATCCTATACTTCAAGGGTCTACAATTAACTCAATGCAGTTTTGAAAACTAGTAACTAGTAATGGCCTGACAATGCTCTATATATATATATATATTTTAAATTTATTTATTTATTTTTGGCTGCATTGGGTCTTCGTCGCTGCATGTGGGGCTTTCTCTACTTGTGGCAAGCAGAGGCTACTCTTTGTTGTGGGGTGCGGGCTTCTCATTGTGGTAGCTTCTCTTGTTGCGGAGCACGGGCTCTAGGCGCGTGGGCTTCAGTAGTTGTGGCACGCAGGCTCAGTAGTTGTGGCTCATGGCTCTAGAGCACAGGCTCAGTAGTTGTGGAGCACGGGCTTAGCTGCTCTGCGGCATATGGGATCTTCCCATAGGGCTTCCCACAGGGCTTGAACCTGTGTCCCCTGCATTGGCAGGTGGATTCTTAACCACTGCACCACCAGGGAAGCCCATCAATGCTGTTTTAACTCTCACCAATGTGATTTCCCAGGAGAAAAACTCCTAGGAGATGCGCAGCCACCTCTGCTAAATTCTCCCAAACTTGGGGTGGGTGAAGTCACAGTGAAACGTCACCTGATACATCCACCAGAGGGCACTCAATCTCCATGGTTGAGGCAGGAAGAACCACAATCACAAGCCTACCTGACCTACACAGTGCAAAAATGCACTGCATCATTACTGGTTTTAAAGACAAAACAAAATGTAATCCATGTCAAGTCATGCTTAATTCCTTTATGGAAGAGGCACATTCTAAAACCTAAAGTAAAAATTTCATAAAGACTTGGGATTTATGGAAAGGGATTCCTCCTGAAAGCCAAGGCAGGACAATGCTAAGAAAGGCCTTCAGTTTCCTTAGGCTGCCTTATTCATACGAAGAAACTTCAGGAGGCATACACCTACCTGGAGCAGAGGCAGGTTTTCCTCCCTGATAAGGCCAAGGAAGGCATAGTGCCCTCTGTTCTGAAAAAATTCAAGGTCCCTTCAAAGGCCTAAGCCAACTCGGACTTTTAACTCTAGTTGTAAGAGCATGGGAAGCTGAAGTAGCAGCTCTGGGTGAAAAAAGAAACTAAAAGCCTAATGGGTTTTTTTGGCTTCTGGGTAAAAGAACTGAGTTTTTATTTATTGGGTATTATCCTGTAGAATTAGGCAGGGTCTTTAATCTCAAAGCTGGTCATCTAGTCAGAGATAGAGAAGAACAGCTTTCCTGAGGAAAATAAATATGTCCATAAGTTCCACTATAACCAAAGGCTGTCTAGTACAACCCATAACCTTCAGACTTTCATGCAACATGGGTCAGAACAACCAGCTAGTGAATCATTTTTATGTCACTAAACAGCACGTCCTTGCTCCACCTTCCAGGACCATCACGACTCATACCTCATAAAATGGCCAAGGCAGCTTTAAGACCCCCATTTCTCCTAACAAGGAGGCACCCTTCTGGAATGCTTCTGCCAGGCAGGAACAGGGAACAGTCACACACTCAAAGGCATCTTAGGCCTCTTACCTGTAATTTTGCCATTGGCTTCAGAGGGAGGCTGCCAATTTACAATTATGGTCCTAGGTTTTCCCTCTTTACTCACAACTGTCACATCCTTGGGTGGAGAAGCAGGAGCTACAAAATAATAATACTTTCAGTAATTCCCATCCATTTCAATTTAATTCACCCTTTCCTCAACCCTTTCCATTTAGAAGGCACAATGAAGGGCAGAGGCAAAAAAGATAAAGCCTCCTGGCTTCAAAGAATTCATTGTCTATCTATAAATAGCTCCAATGAAAAGAAGGATATGCAAAGTACCAAAGAGGAAATATCACACCATGAGGATACAGTATAGGCATCCAGATGGGGAGGTCAGGGATATGCAGGCTAGTTAGGGAAATCAAAAGACATTTGTAGTCCCTGCTTGATAGATCAGGAGACTGAAAATGAGAAATGTTATATAATGTGCCCAAGATGACATTTTCCCCCCAATTTGGATTGTTTTGTTAGAATAGTTTTAAGTATAAAGTAACTTTCTCTCTACCTACAGTTGGCTCTCTAAACCAAATACAGTGTTTGAAAACCACCATTCCCCCAAAGAATAAATGATTTACAAATTGATGGGTTTTTTTTAAAAGTTAAATTTACGCTGAAAAGATACGAAGGTTATTGCTCTGAAATGTAAAGCTGTTTATGGAACAGAAAAACCAATAAAATAAAAATGACAGTGCATCTGTATTTCCATGTTATGGCTGAAAACTTTTAATGTACTAGTTGGAAAATGAGCAAAGTAAGTATATCCTTAAACTTACTCTTCTTTTCCTAAAATACTGGAATTCTCCTAGTATAAAACGGAAGGGAGCCCAGTGAAATGCAAACTCCTGATGGAGTATCATTTATTACCTAATGGGCTGGAATGAAAGCACAAAGATACTCTTAAAACTGGCAAAGAAAGCAAACTCAAGGTCTATTTAAGCTTTTGTGCATTATATTTCTTTCTCTCCAAATCTATCCCCTTTTCTCTGCAGGAAATTCAACCAACTGTGAAGATAAAAAGACATTAGGGCCAAACCCAGTCTACGGAGACTTTATAGCTCTAGTTTTTTCATTATGCATTTAAAAGAGAGAAAGAAATAGGAGGGTGGAATAGACAGAGCCTCCCAACGGTTACACACCTCCCCATGCTAGGCAAGTACAAGGGGCAGAAGGGTAGGTCTACAAGTGAGCAAAAAGCAAGCAAAATCTTAAAATTGGATGGCTTGCTTTCCCCTTGATTTACTTAGCTGTCTTTTTTCTTTCATGTTTACTTACAGAGAAAAACCCTAAGAATACTCCAGTGGGAGATTTTATAAGACACTAACCAGTTTGCAAGAAAGCTCCTAGGGAAGGCTTGGGAGGCTCTGGTAAAGTGCTGAGGCTTTAGCAAGCATAGCATTGGTGAAGGGCAGCCCACTTCATCTTTTCTATCTCAATTTCCCAGTAAAGCAAGGTTAATAACCGTAATTCCTTACGTCTACACAGTGCTTTACAATTTACCACGTACTTTATTTATAGGGTACTTTATTTTACCCTATAAAGTAGGAAAGGCAGAGATCACCCCTCTTTTATAGATGGAAGAAATAGATTCAGAGAGGCTGGATGACTTGCTTATGATCACAGTCAACAGATGGTTGACCTTGGAATTGAACTCAAGTCTCATGACTCCTAAAATCTAGTACACTTTGCATTATATTGTCCTATTTGCTAATGTTCTTGTACAACGATGAAAAAACATAATTAATCAGCTGAAAAAGCAAACACTGAACTCCAGCTGTAGCTGCTCACTGTGTTCTGTAAATATGTCAATTCATGCACTCAATTCTTTCCTTGGGTAGGAAAAACAGGTGATGAGATGTCTTATGACTTGAGATATGGCACAACATTAGCACAGACTTTCACTGGCTTTCACTTCTTGCAAAGAGAAGAAATGCCATGTGACAAAGTTCTGACAACACATACCTGATTCAAAAGTGGTCCCATGTGCTGTCATACTCCATGTGCTTGATCTTCGACCTTTCGTCACCATCACAGAGAATTCATAGAGTGTATTTGGTTTTAAACCAGTCACCAAATAACTCAAAGTCGTTGCATTAGCATTCTGGAAATATATGAATCAAGAGCTTCAGAGTCAGAAAATATCAAGAATTAGGTTTTCAACCAGAACAAATGTGCCAGTACCTTATACTTGGTGTTTGCTGGGATGTTGGTTTTCCATCGGACTGTGTAGTATCGGGAGTCTGTAATCTTCTGGTGTTTGGGCAGTGAGTTGTCTGCCCATGTAATCCTTATGGTGTCATGACTCAGAATGGAAGCCTGAACTCCCACGGGTGGCATCATGGGAGTAGGATCTGGCACTGGAGTGTATGGAGCATTAATAACAAATAAATCAACTTCAGAAGTGTCTGGGTAAAAAGTAATTAAAAAATGGAAGTGCCATTTTAACATAAACAAAAATAAAAGAAAAGGGAAATGCAGGGTAATATAATGGAATGAAAGGTGAGAAATGGAGAAGGAGAAAGAGAAAGAGAATCCGGAGTTAACAGATAACCACCATTCATTTAAAAGAATATTTCCACTTGTGTTCTTTCAGGAAAAAATTGCAGGAAAGCATCTAGAGAAACAGTAATTAACTATTTTCTTCTCCTGTATTCTGTATGTATATTGAACAGGTATATAAAATTTGATAATCCAGTGATTATATTAATGTATTCAAACTTGAATTTTCTTTTTCCTAAAAAATTTCCTTTACATTACTTGAAAATTCTACCTCCTGTCCAAAAATCATTAAAAGATGAAAACTGCTTTTAATATCAAGGGTATTCTTTCTAAACAAATAACACAAAGCTCATGATCTGTTTTAATATTTCAGTGACTATGGATGAATTTTTGGGACATGGCTTATCAGTGGGTATCACTGGACATGTAGGGGTCCCTACTCTGGAACATGAGTCCTGAACATTAGCCAACAGCAACTTAGCCTGGCCTTGGTATTGGGCGCAGGGTCCAGTTCAGATCTGCTGATGTCCTGGGTCTAAAAGAAGTGCAGCAATATGGCTCACATGCAAATAAAGCAAAGGGAACTCAAGGGCATTACTCTTCATAGAGGAAAGGTAAGCTGACGCCACGCAGGAATATTTCCACACTTTCTCCAGTAGACTTAGAACAACCCTCTGATGAATCCCAATCAGCTATGGGAAATGCCATAGTTATTAAAGGTCTAAATGACACAGCCTTGATGAACTTTAGAAATCAGAGCACTTATTTGATAGAAAGGAAAGTCTATACTCATGTGCTGTCCTGCACCATATGCAACAGACACATTCTCTAAGCATCATTGTCAAAACAAAGGCCAGAATGAGCACAAAGGCACCATGAGCCCACAGCAATACAGCAGCATCCATTTGGGCTTTCCCAACTCTTGGCCAGTTTTCTAAGTATATACACACTGATCTATTTTAAGTGAAGGTTTTAAAGTGGGTTTCCCATATAGTTACGGTGACTAGTCCTTTCTATAACCTAAATCTGAAATGGCGTGGGCCTTGTTTATGAATAATTGCCAAACTAAAGAAATAGTCTCTATTTGTGTATTTCCTACACAATGAAGACTAAAAATAACACAGGAACAGCATACATTATAATCAAGGGCTTTGTTCAAAGATCAGGACACATACCAATTAGTTACAGAAAATGCACCTTCAGGTGCAAACATCACCAAGACTTTTTTGAGAACTTTTTTCTTATTTGTAACAACTCTTGGAAAAGATAACTAGGTTACATGACTTATGAACATTTCCCCTTGTATATTTCTAGCCATGTTATATTTTTAAGTCACATAAAAGAAAATAATTCCGAATTTGTTTTTTCTATTATAGACTGATTTAAGAAAGTAGCAAACGGCTTAAATATTCTTTTTCATCTTACTTTTTTTCCTTTCTGAAATACCAAAGCTATTTTTAAGAGAACTTATAAACTGTAAGCACACAGGAGCAGAAGACAGGATATGTAGCATGGTGCTGGTGTTTTTAAGTAAAAGCATAAAAAAAGGGGACAGAGATTATCTTTTTAAAACGAATAATGCCAAATCCATACTATTAAGCAAAGTATCCAGAATACATAGCAGGCAATACAGATTCACAATTTTGAGAAACAAATAGAAAAGAGCATTTCTGAAAGTGATAAATTCTTTGGTTTTCAGTACCCTTTAGAAAATTTTGCATTCTAATATATTCACTTCAATGAACTTTCTCATTCAAACCTAAATCATGTTTTACATAATCTACAGAAATTTTACATTATTCTTTTAAAGATATTTTAAATAGATTAAATTACAAAGAAAAATAATAAAATAGATTAAATTAGATTAAAATAGATTAAATAAAATAGATTAAATTACAAAGAAAAATAATAAATATTTGGTCCCTTTTGTAATAAATGTACAGTTGATCAAATGGATAGTACATATGACTTCATACTTTCTATAGATAAAGCATATAAAAAGCACATAGAAAAATACCTTCCCAAATAACTCAGGTGACTAATAAAAAAAAAGTTGGATTCATCAATCATATACATTTATTCCATCAGTAACCTATATATTTCCTCAGAGATATGGAGATCCTTTCATTTTTTTTCTCATTTTAGTTATAACTCACATGACCAAAAGATGAAAATTCGTTTTTAATTCTCTCACGACTATGCTTTCTAGATCCCAACATATTAAAAACATGTGTTACACATTTACATAGATTTGTTTACATGACAGGACTGTTAACATTTTCTAAAAAGCAAAACAGGGATTCATAAAACTTTCCATGTTTAAAGCCCATTTATCTTCCTATTTGAAGCCTGTACCCTAAATTGCCATATTCTTTTCCTTTCACTGATACCTATGGGGCAGGCCTCATGCCAACATTCTACTTAAGCTGCTGGAAAAAATGCTGAAGACCAGAGATGGACAGGGTACCTTACCTGTGTGAGGTCTGGTCACAGCACTCTCATAGAGGGGGATACCTTCACCCACATTGTTAAATGCTTTCAGGGTAATCACATAGTGAGAGCTGGGATCTGAAGGAAAGAAACAAGTGGAAACACTTAAAAAAATTCTCACTACAGAATTAAAAAAATTCACGGGTGACGATGCATAATCTTAATTGCAAAAAAAGCCAGGAAAGATTTTTAAATTTTTTATGTGGGATTATTCTGGGGGTGGGGAGGTATGGAGATGGCAGCATACAGAGTATATAGAAAAACTGGCTGCGATAAACTTCCTGGAATTAGTCCCAGGAGTCAGGTTGACTGTTCCTGAATCCTCTCTTGGCTTCAGCTAATCAATGGTTTAGTGATGTTATTGTATAGTGAAGAGCTTGGATTAAAATGAATAAATAAGATTTTCATGTGCTGGAAGCCCATAGGTGGAGCTTGAAATTAAACAAACCCCTTTCCTTCTCAGGAGGACAGCAACTGGAACAGCCAAGCTAGACAAGCAGGAGATAAACTGTTAACTCAGTAACTGCTGAAGATCCTTAACTCTCTGGAGTGCCTCCAAATCCAGGAATGCCAACTTAATCTAGCCTTCATGCAGACTTCTTGGTTGGAAAAGACATGGCCCAGAATTTCAACCAGCTAGGAGGTGGTGCTGCAGGAAGTGTAAGACTGAAAGAAACACTTCTCCAGGTGATCATATAAAATGCTGCTAGTCAGACTTGGTGAAAAAGAGAGGTATTAAATAGTTGGAATAGTATTCATTCTCCTACTGGCTAAGGCAAATCAGGAAGAGTCTACTTTATCACATTCCTGATTCAGACAAGGTTTAGTATGGGTACTTCAAAAGTCTAGCTTCAGAAATGAAGACTTGGGCTCCACTGAAGTGTTGCAGGGGGAGAAGCTGACCCATAACACTCACTTCTGGCAAAGTTGGGTAGATTTCCAAAGTGGCCACACCTCAAGTGTCCTGCATTACTTTAAAAGCTGCTTGGTGGCCCATCCTCTAGATACCAGTGAGCAATATATAAAGGCACCTGGTCTTCCAATGTGAGAAAGAATTGACAACAAATGGAATCAATGAGACTTAGTACTTGACTGGCAGGAAAGGGTGCTGATATGGGCAACATGGTGGAAGGTGATGTCATTCACTGAGATTGGGGACAGAGGCAGAGCAACTACGATACACATTTTCCAGACTTGATTCTAGGTCCCCTTCTATTCCTACTCTTCACTCTCTCCCGATGTGCTTTCATTTATTTCCTTGGTTGGATTAGCATGTATGTGCCATCAAGTGCAAACTAGTCTTGACTTTTCTTCTGAGCACCAGACCTCTAAGTTCAACTGTCTATCTGGATTTCCACTTGGATGTCTCAAATCTCTCTCTCTCCCCTTTCCCTGCTCCTTCAGCTGCTCCAGTTTTCCCTAGAGTTCATAAATGGTATGACTATGCACCCTGCTGCTCCAGTCAGAAAGCTGGGAGTCATTAAGACCTCTCCCTCCTCCCCTACACAAATGATCAAGCCTTGCTGATTATACCTACTTGCCTCTCACCACTCTGCCTTGCTCACTGGGCTCCATCTTTACTGGCTATCTCTCAGTTCACTGAGCACTATGTGGTCTCTTACTACTGGGCTGCAACATGTGCAGCTGTCCCTTACGCTAGGGACACATGCCACCCTTCTTTACTTAGACAATGCCTATTCATCTGAAAGGGCTCTTCCCAGACTGGATTAGCCTCTCTAGTTACATAGCCTGTGGCACCTCATTTCTCTTCCTCAGCACTCTAAACAATTTCAATTATTTAGAAATTGTATCATTTCTAATAATAGGGATCATGTCTGTTTGATTCTTTGCTCTGTCTCTAGCACAGGGTCTGGGGTATTTGCGGATTGAAAGTTTGCAGGAGAAGATACTAATTTTTTTTTTTTTTTTTGTGGTACGCAGGCCTCTCACTGTTGTGGCCTCTCCCGTTGCGGAGCACAGGCTCCGGACGTGCAGGCTCAGCGGCCATGGCTCACGGGCCCAGCCGCTCCGCAGCATGTGGGATCCTCCCAGACCGGGGCACGAACCCGTGTCCCCTGCATCGGCAGGCGGACTCTCAACCACTGCGCCACCAGGGAAGCCCGATACTGATTTTAATTTTGATTAAATTATGATAGATTATGGGACATATCCCAGTGCAAATACCCATCAAGCAGATGTTTATATGGATCTGAAGCTCAGGAGAGAGCTCTTGTGTGAATAAATGAATTCCTAAAAGAATTTCTCAACTGCTGACTTTTGTTCAATATTATATGCATCTTAGCTCTATCTGTGATGATAAATATAGCAAGCTTATTTTACTTTACGCAAAATTAATTTTTTGCTACTTCTCAATGTACACTCTCTTAACTAATAAAATCTGTTTACTGTTTTCAGCACATGCAGTGCTCCTTCTCATCTCTTCTTTTCAACCACTCTGTTCTGACTCAGTCTTTCAAGCACAGGTCAAGCTTCTCCCCTGACTGCTCTACTGTGCCGTACCACCTTTTCCTTCTCTGAACATACTTGACTTCAACTCATCTCATTGTTTCCTGTGTTTTACATTTCTTCTCCGATTAGACTGAACGCACCTGAAATTCAAAGACCACGTACTGCTTGCACTGCAGAGGATTTTCATTTCAGTAGCTTCATAAAGGAAACAGTAGGAGTGGGTCACCACAGAGATATTTTTATCCTATCCTATTCTTCTGCTCTCCTACAATTGCCTTATAAGACTGTTCGTGTGGGGAACACTTCCTAGGTTAACTGTGCTGTTTCTTCTTGAAAGGAAAAAGAGAAAGGCTACTCTGTTTCTGAATAAAGCATTAGATTGCTGCTTATTTTCTACCAGAAAAGATGAAGGTAAGTAATTTGTTGGACACCTAAAATTGTCCTTAGGAAAGATATTTACAAAGAAATGATATGAACAAGAAAGTTGGTCAGGGAAGATTCTGAATTAAAAGGCAAGTCTTTCAAAGAAAGATCTCAATAATGATATAATCCAATTTGGAAAAGTAATTATATCTACCCAAATCAATTCATTTTCTATTATAAAATATTAACTATATCTCAAAATTTTGGCTTTGTAATTCAACTTTGAGGCATAATTAGTACGAACTAAAATGTACCAATTTAAATGTATACTTTTAATTTTGATAAATATATACACCTGTGTAATCATGACCACAATCAAGATAGAGAATATTTCCAACACTCCAAATAATTCCCTTATGCCCCTTGCAGTAAATTTCCACCACCCCAATTTCCAGGCAACCACTCATCTTGCTGTGTCACTATAAATAAGTGCTGTCCCTTCTGTAATTTCATAAAAATATAACACAATATGTATTCTCTTGTGTTTGGCTTCTTTTGCTCAGCATAATGTTTGTGAGATTTGTTTTGTTGTGTGTATCCATAGCCTATTTCTTCAAATTGCTGAGTAGTAGTCTACTGTATGGATATAGTATAATTTACCATTTACTTGTTTACCCCCTTTAGATTATTATAAATAAATATATCATGAACATCTGTGTAGAAGTCTATGTGTAGATATGTGTCTTTATTTCTCTTGGTTAACAATCTATGAGTGGGAATGTTGGGTTGTATGGTCAACGTTTTAAGAAACCTCCAAACTGTTTTCTAAAGTGGTTGTACCATCTGATATTCCCATCAGCAACCGTGAGTTCCAGTTCTATATCCTTGCTGATATCTGGTATTATCAGTCTATTAAATTTTAGCAATTCTAGAGGTTGTGTAGTGATATTCCATCGTGGCTTTATTTGCATTTCTCTGATGATTAATGAAGCTGAGAATCTTTTCATGTGCTTATTGTCCACTCATATATCATATTCTTTGGTGTACTGTCCATCCAAATCTTTTGCCTACTTTTTTATTGGATTGTTATCTTCTTATTGAGTTGTTAGAGGTGCTTTTTTTTGTTTGCTTGTTTGTTTTTACATCTTCTAGACTGAAATTCTTTGTCAGGTACTTGAATGATGAGTATTTTCTTCTAGCCTCTGGCTCAGAGACTTTTCATCTTATTGGTGTCTTTCCAAGGAGAAGTTTTAAATCTTGAGGAAGCCTGATTTATTAATTTTTTATTTTTAATTTGTGCTTTTTTGCATCCTAAGAGATCCTTGCTACCCCAAAGTCATGAAGATTTTTTTTCTGTTTTCTACTAGAAGTTTTATAGTTTTAACTGTTGTATTTAGATCTGTTTTTGTGTATGGTATGAGATAAGGGTCAATGAAGGTTCTTTTTTCTTTCTCATACAGATATCCAATTATTCCCACACCTTTTGTTGAAAAGACTATCCTCTTCCCACTGAATTATCTCAGTATTTTTGTCAAAAATCAATTGACCATATACGTATGGATCTATTTGTGGACTCTATCCTGTTTCACCTACCTTTTACATAAACACTATCAAAATGTCTCGGTTACTGTAGCTTTATAATAAATCCTGAAATCATGTAGTGTGGGTCTTCTAAACTTTATTCTTCTTTTTCAAAAATGTTTGGCTATTCCAGCTCTTTTGATTTTTCATGTAAATTTTAGAATAAGTTTATCAACGTCTAGAAAAAAGTCGACTGGGATTTTACTTGGGATTGCATTGGAGAGGACTGTCATTGTAATGTACTGTTTTCCAATCCATGAACATGGTATCTCCATTTATTTAAGTCTTCTTTAATTTCTCTCAGCCATCATTTTCCACTCTTCAGTGCACAAATCTTTATATATATATAAAGTTTATTCCTAAGTACTTCATATTTTTGATGCTATTAAGTGGTATTGCTATTTTTAAATATTTTTACTGGAGTATAGTTATTTACAATGTTGTGTTAGTTTCAGGTGTACAGCAAAGTCAATCTGTTATACATATATATCCACTCTTTTTTTGATTCTTTTCCCATATAGGCCATTACAGAGTATTGAGTAGAGTCTCTTGTGCTGCACAGTAGGTCCTTATTAGTTATCTATTTTATATATAGTAGTGTGTACATGTCAATCCCACTCTACCAATTTATCTCTCCTCCCCCTTACCCCCTGGTAACCGTAAGTTTATTTTCTACATCTGTAACTCTATTTCTGTTTTGTAGATAAGTTCATTTGTACCCCTCTTTTTGGATTCCACATATAAGCAATATCATATGATATTTGTCTTTCTCTGTCTGACTTTACTATGACAATCTCTAAGCCCATCCATGTTGCTGCAAATGGCATTACTTTGTTCTTTTTTATGGTTAATATTCCATTGTATATATGTACCTCAACTTTTTTAACCATTCCTCTGTTGATGGTGGTATTGTTATTTTAATTCCAATTTCCAATTGCTTATTGTTAGTATGTGGAAATACAACTGTTTCTATATATTGACTTTATATCTTGTGACCTTTTAAACCCAGTTATAGTTTTAGTAGCCTTTTTAATAGATTCCTCAGGATTTCTACCCCAGTAACAATGAGCATGTATAGTGCTCAGATACTGGTTTCTAAATATCATTTATAAAAAATCAGGAGTAATAGCTGATTCAAGGGCAAAGGCTAGGAAAATACCAGATAAGCCTGTAACATCGTACTGTGTCAAAAAGAAAGAAAGTGCTCAAAGAAAGATGGGAGATGTCAAACGGACAGAGAAACTAGTCATAAAGAGACTCCCATTGGCCGCTCTTTCACTATGAAGAGAAGGAAAGCTCTTTCTTATCAAAGCATGCTAATAAATGTAGAAGAAATAATGGAATTAGGAAATCACCACTTGGGAAACACCACAGTAATAACTGTTAACTAAAGATTCTAAAACTAGTGAGTAAAAGTTGGACAAGAAACAAGATATTTACAAAGATTCAAGGTACCTCCCCTACAAGGTACTTTTTAATTATGAAGGAAAAAAATAATAACTTTATAGTAGAGAATGTGGAAGATACCATTTTAACCAAGTGGTTAAAGTTAACATCACTAGCATTAGACTCTCATGTGCCTCCTGATATGATGTACTGACAAGAACACATGCATCTATGTCACTCCTTCCAAAAATGCATAAGCTGAATGTAATGAGGAAATATTACACAAGTCTAAACTGAGGAACATTCTATAAAATATAAATGGTCTATATGTATTTTTCAAAAATGTCATAGTCATGGAAGTCAAGAAAAAAACAAGGAACTGTTACATATAAAAGAAAACTAATGAGAAACAATAAATACAACATGTGATCCTGCAACAGAAAACCATGTTTTTCTTTTGTTATAAAGGACATTAATGAGACAGCTAGTAAAATATGAAGTCTTTAGATAGTTTCACAGTTAATTTGCTCATTTTGATAACTGCACTGTGGTTATATTAGAAAATGCCCTTATTTTTAGGAAATGCAAATTAAAAGTAAATATGAGTGGATATAGAGGGGCATCATGTCTGCAACTTACTCTCAAAAGGTTCTGCGAAAAAAAAAACAGGTACATACAGCAGATAAAGCATATGTGGTAAAACGTTAACCTCTGGGGAATCTGGGTGAAGGATATATAAAAATTCTTTGTACTATTTTTGAAAGTTTTCTGTAAAAATAAAATTATTACACAATAAAAAGGTAGAAAGAAAGAAATCACATGTGCGATTACTTCCTCTACTTAGCACACATACCCAGATTTTCGATGGTGTAATAGCGCTGTTTATAGTCCACTTTTATGGTCTGGGCATGAGGGCTGCCAATGCCATAACCAATGGCATAACCTCTGACCACAATGTTCTGATTCTCCGGAGGTGTCCAGCTTACTACGATGCTAGTGACAAGTGGGCGGACGTGAAGAGAACTAGGCACTTCAGGGACACGAGTTTCTGGGAAGGAAAACAGAAAAGCAGGATGATATCCAGAGCCGCTTTCCTTTAGAATATTTCATCATGCTTGGGAAATGGTGTTCAGCCTTCTGCCAAATTATTTGGGGCTTAGTTTTTTCCATTTTGCCGAAGAATTCAGAGAATCTGTATGTACAGTAAAGTATGGCCCATGGTTTTACTGCAGTCTAAGAAAACAAACTCAAACAGCCTGAAATACAAAACACTGCAGTATTAATTTGGAAGGGAAGAGAAAGAGATCCAAGAATGTCTTCCCAATGGAGAAAAACAAATACATTGTCTTTCAATTGTTACCCATTCCTCTTGGTCCTACATCTGAGTCCCAAACTCTACCAGGTGGAATGAGAAAGGCACATCAACTAATTAGAAGCCTGCTGTCAACAGGTGATCAAGTATCATATTACAGCAATGATATCAATTATTTACTCCCCAAAGTAATATGGTAAGTCAGAAAATATGAAACTTTAGAACCACAAATTGATTTAAATGGTGGGAGACTAAGAGGCTTTAAAAGGTGGCAATTTACAGTACCTTTCACATACATTATTTCAAGGCATAAATTTCTACCACTATTTAAAAATTAGTAAGCAAAGAATTAGAGTAAATACCCAGGTCTTTTGTCTTTTAAGTGCAGCACCTGTCTCTGATAAAGGTACATACACACACCCACATGGAGTTATTGAATAAACAGGTGAGAAAAAGGGAAAGGTTTCCAGGACTAAGGGAAGAGGGAAACTGTAACTGAAATAAAGGCACAATTTATGTGGTTCAGCCTTAAATTTTAGATCATTTATCTACTTGACGGCCTTGGTAAAAAACCAGACTTAAAGCACTTGTATATTTTTACTTGTGCTGGTTCTGCTTAAAGGGACGGTTCTCTTTAAAAAAAAAAAAAAAAAAACATTCCAGGACACTTGCTGTATTACAGGAATGACAGCAGTATAAATCCACTAAAGTTCACAGATTTAAGCCACATAACACCCAAAATCTGTGCCTTTCCAGTTTGACTTATTTGATTTCAGTTAGTACCTAGCCTGTGCCAATCCTGCCGATTGCTGTTCTTACCATCTAAGTCACTTTCAAAAGTTTCAGCAGACAGCCAGTCAGTAGCAGGGCCTGTACCATTGACTGTTAGAGCAGCCACCCGGAAATTATATTCAGTCCCCCGATCAAGACCTGCAACCCAAACGACAGAAAAAAAAAAGGGCTGAAACAAGAGGTTTGGAAAAACAAAAGATCAGCAATCTCTCATTAAAGCAAATATCTCATCCACCAACTTAATAAAAAGCTACTATCTTGATAACATTCCAGTTAAAGTTAATACAGAACAAGCAATACATAAATACAGCACAGAGGAGCTCCTACCTCTGAAGTAGAGGCTAAAGCCCACAAAATCCAAGAGGAAAACAAAATGAGTAAAGGTCCCAGGAGACTTCAGATCTTTTAAAAGAGCTTAAAGGCATCTTAGAGATCACTTAATGCAATCCCTTCATTTTGTTACTAAGGAGGCCGAGGCCAAAAAGAGGCCAAAGGAATGAAAGAGTTACAACAAAGGAACAAAGTCAGTTGGTCTCAAAAGACACCAAAGACCAGAAAATAATGCAGAGGTATAACACCTACCAGTTTACCTCTGTTCTCTGGGCCACCCCATAACCACAGTAGAAAAAAATTTAAACATCTAATATGGCCTAGAAATCTATTTCTCAACAGCCTATTGCCCATAAGTATATACTATAAGTAAAAGAGAAATAAAGCCTCTCTACTATGCAATGTTTCATATTTACTATCAGCTAACAAAGTACCTGATATACAAATGTACCAAAGGCAACAAAGATCTATATGTAAAAGTCTACCCTACAAAGTGGGGAACAGTCAATAATATGGTCAGCTATTCATATATTCATGCTTCCATTTTTTTCTCTTTTTATTGTGTTAAAATACATATCACATAAAATTTATCATCTTAGTCATTTTTAAGTGTACAGTTCACATGCATACATTTTTAGAGCACTTAGATTCTAGATATTGTGATAGGTCTTGTAAGGGTTATGAAAAATTATCCTACTTCCCCATATTCAAATAACAGCATCTTTGGCCAGCAACATAGTACAGAAACTCCAAAGAGAGAGCTACTGAGAGAGAAGTTGGCTAGGATGCAGGATGAGCCCTTGCTCAGTTAATCAATCCTGTCACGTGGTGTGAGAGGAGAGATGGGAGGTTCTGTCCTCTGCAGGCCCATCCTGATTCTGTTTGTCCGCAAGAAAGCAAGAAGCAAGACAGGAGGAGAAGCAGAACGGCTGGGGCCAAGTCAGTTTACCTCTCTGTCTCCTCCCTGCACACACTGAACAGGATGTGCCAGAATGGGCTACACAAGCATTTGTAACTTTAACAGACAACAAACATGGTTCAATTGAGGACCTGGAAGAATTCAACCAATCAGATTATCATTCCCTCGCCTCTGGGGAGTTGGAATGTAAGAGAGGGAGAGAGCAAGTGAGAGAGAGAGTGCACATAAGTAGGTGCAAGTGAGAGAGACGCGTGAGTATAGAGGCTGAGCTCCTCTCCCTCAAGATAACCTAGAGAGCTCATCGACTAAAACCAAGGCACTCGATTCATATTATAAAGATACGGCAGAATGTGTTTAGTGCTGTAAGTGGTACAAAAAGAAGACACAAAAATTACTTCTGGCTAAAACTTAAAATCCTATAATTTGTTGTTCAGTACAGGATCTTGGGAACCCATACTGTTCTCCAATACTTATCAGCTTCAAGTTAATGCTTCAGGAGAACAATGATCTCCACTTTTGCTCATCATTGTATACTCAGTGCCAGTACCTGCTAATAAAAGTTCAATAAAGTCTATTAAACAAATGAATGAATCTAAATATGATTTTAAAATGCAAGAATTTTCTTGATAAAGAAAAGGCTATTTTTATGATGAAAGTGGTACTCTGCTTATACATCAAATGTTCCACTGAGAAAACGAATAGTCTCCTCATGGGCAAGGACTGTATCTACTTTTATTTATTAGAAACAAGAAGAGTGCCTGGTATACCATAAATATCTACTATTAAACATACAAAATAAAAGCCTTATCTTTGGGAAATGTTATTTATCTGTGTCTGGAGTAAAATCAGACTGACTTTTAAGAACATCCGTGACCAATTTTGCTGTCATGCTCCTTTGGTGAGACTTCTCAGCAACACCCCTACAGCCATATTTACCTGCTGCAGCTTAGAGCTGTGGGGTTATGAGAGGAAACTAGAAGACTGAAAGATACCCTTGAAGACAAACATTCACCTTCTCCTATTTTGAAAGAAGTCAATCTCATCCATGAGGTGAGGAGTACAGAGAAAAGCTTGCTGGTTTACTGGAGTACAGTTTTTCACTGTCACTGGCTCTCCAATTTTCAGAAACCTATACCTATTCAGATTATATGGATTAGCGTTCATTTTTATCAGGTGTGCCACTTGCTCTGTTTCACACAAGGGGAGAACTATACAAAAGAGCTATCCTTGACAGAATTTTCTAGAACTTTATCATGTCTGTAGAAGCAAGAAAGATTATTGCATGGCTGTGGCTATTCACAAATGTTGCTTCAGGCCACATATACCTGAGTGGTGTCAGCGTTATAGAAGTCATTTTGTAGGCCTCTGCTACCAACTAGACTGAGTGGATTCTTTGCTTATATAGCTTTGTTTTACCTTTCTTTCAGATTACAAAAGAGTTGTGTGTGTGTGTGTGTGTGTGTGTGTGTGTGTGTGTGTATGTGTGTGTGTGTGTGTGTGTGTGTGTGTGTGTGTATATTCAAAAAAGAAAACATGGAGAACACAGAAAAACACAAGTAAGGCAATGAAACTCAAATGCAATTTCACCAGAGATGGCAGAACCTGTAAGAGTGTTTTCCACTAATTTTTATCAAGTCAGAAGTAGACTGAACTCTTACAAATTGTTTTAAACCATTTTTGCTTTGTGTAAGTCAACGGCCCAGAGCAGTCATTAGACTAGCACAATTCAATGTTTGAGAGAGACACCATCTCCTAGCTTTCGCCTATGTGCAAAGCAGCTTACCTTCAATCAGCTGTGACAGCTGTGTCCCAGTCACCAAAGTCTCAGTGACATCGCTCTTTCGGGAGGCCTTTCGGTAGCGAACCCTGTAGCCAGTGATCTGCCCATTTTGTGTGGCTGGAGGAGGTGGCTGCCAGTGAATCACAATACTCTGGGAAAGACAAGGTTACAGGGAAAAGACCGAATATATCAAATCTTGGTCCTGTTTTATGTATTATTACTCTGAATTCAGTGTGTAAGAGAAGGAACCATAAAAGCAACAGTGTTCAGAGTTTTACTAAGTTATTTAATAATCACTCAAAAATAGTGTTTAATTTTAAAACCATCAAAGCTCAAATGGGGAGACTGTATTTGTGGGCAGTATACGCTGGGCACTTGATTTATTTTGCCAGAATGAAGACATAGGGCAAAAGTGTCAGGAAAGTTTTTGAAGGAAAACGTAAGGTCAGAGGCATGTGGATTAGGAAGTAAACTACTGTTAGGTGTAAGGTTCTCTTCTACTTCCACTGTAGCAACAGTGAAATTAGACAATTTCTGTCTAAAACTTTTCAAAGAGGGGACTGTTAATCAACAGCTGGCTGTTTCTTAAAGGAAAAGGAGTCCCATAGTCCTTTTTGAAAGAACTGACTGTCTCAGTTGTCTATGCAGCCCAGTAGGGGTTCTGGGCATCTGAGAGGCACACATGGCCTTCAGTGCACAGTGAACTTGACCAGGAGGGACAGCTTCAGCAATGCAACCATCTGACAGACGTCTGCCTTTGATTCACAGTGGGCTCACCTCACAGTACTAAACAGGCTATGGTATTATAAACAACAACTTACTTCTTTCTACCTGTCACCAAGGTTCCGGATGGCTAACATCTAGGATGTCATGATTTACATAATAATAGCAATGTACTTGAAGAAAGGCTAAAGTAATTTTTGCACAGCAGAAAGGCAGTAAAGTTGAACAGAATCAACCAGAGTTGGCTTCTAAGCCCAGCTTTAAACTGGCAAGTGTAATATCTATGTTACTTTATTTCTTTGCTTGATTATGATTGTTTTGATGCAGAATCTCCCTCTCTGTTTGCCCTCCTGAGGCAAATAGAAAATGAACAACAGCAATATGAAGTTTTACCTTTGAATTTCTTACTTCTAAAGACAGATTCTGAGGAGCAGCACTGGGAACTGCATAGGCGGAAAAAAAAAAAGAAAAGAAAAAAAGTTTCAATCACTCAGGCATCACCCATCATGTGACTGTTCTTGGCTGGTCTTTATACAAATGCACATCTCAAACACTGATATACAACCTGAAGGTCTAACCCAGCAGCCAGTGCCCTCATGTTGAAAGTATCTGGACAAGGTGTGGGGCCATATTTGATTCATTTAAAATAATGAGACCCGTTCACATACGCACCCATATCCAAGTCAGGCTGTACCTTTGGGAAGTCAGGTACTTATTTCAAGGATATGATAGTGACTGTAAACTTTTCTAGACCCCAAATACATTCTGAATCTTTAACGTATTCTTTTGAATATTCTTGGGAGTAGCATATCCTTATCTTGGGATACGTTTTCTGGAAACAAGTCTAATGACTATGGCAAGTGAATCAACTGGGTAATATCACTATGAGTCCAAAATGTGATGTACACAAACCAATGAGCTTGGATTTCTTGTGGGGTCCTAAACTGGTTTTAAAGGCAGTTTCCAAGTAGAGCAAAGAGATGTTTAAGCAATGACAGTCCAGTTAAGAAACGATCTGGCTTCCCAAGGGAACTACGTAGCAGGGAACACTCATTCAGATGTGAGAAGTTTGGGACCGTTGGTTAAAAAACAGCTGTATAACTTTAGCTTCTCACATATTAGAACATAAGACAAGGGTATCTCAAAGTTTATGGTCCATACACCCTCCAGTGTCGTCTTCTGTAGTAATTATAGGAAGCAAAGAAAATTTAAGTAAACCTGATTAGTTTCTTCTCCATCACAAAATGCTAACCTTGGCTTTTCTCTCCTAATCCATCCATGGAAATTTCTCCCTCCCATTCTCTGACATTTGGTGACCAGGCGTATAACTAAGTGCCCACTGAGCTACAGGCTTCTGAAGGACAGAGACTATTTCTTGTTCGCTGTTGAATCCTGTGCTAACAACAAAGTACATCAGGCCTCAACCAAGAGATTCAGGCACAGAGGGTCTGGAGAAGGACTTAGGAACCTGTGTTTTGAAAAAAGTCCATGGATGGTTCTGATCATCTCCCTGAACCTCTGACTTAGCTGCAAAGGCACCAACATAATTGTTGTTGTTGTCTTCTTCTTCATCATCAACACCACTGCCACCATCATAGCTAAGATCTGCTGCATGCTCCTACATGACAGTTACTTAATCCTTAAAACAATCCTACAAAGGAGTTTCTATTATTATTCCCATTTTATAGATAAGAAAACTACAGATGCAGCTCAGGAGAGTTAACTTGCTCAAGGTATTTGTTTCAGCTGGTATAGGAACTAAGATTTATCTTACTCCGAACTGCTGCCCTTAACCACCATGCTGAGACACATTCAGTTCCCGTGACAGGCACTGTAGTCAGCATGCCAAGCCACTTAATGCAGTTAAAAGTGGCTCATGGGTAGATTTAAGAGCCTACCTCAAAAAACAGGGTAATGTAGTTGGCTAACCAAACTACAGTTTGCATTTATTTTCCCCAACTTTTTATCCTGAAAAATTGCAAGCACAAAGAGTGACAAGAAGAATACAATGAACACCATGCATTCTTTTCCTGGATTCACCAATTGTTAATATTCTGCCACATCTGCTTTATTTCTCTCATTATATTTACACAAACATGTTTATCTATCTACATATTGTTTCTGGATGGCTGAGAGACAGTTACAGTCGTCATGATACTTCACTCCTAAATACTACAGTATGTATCCCCTAAGAACAAAAACATTCTCCAACAAAATGATAATACAGTGATCACACTAAAAATCTAATCAACACAAAAATACTACCTAATATACCTAATAACATAGCTAATATTTAATAGTGACTGATACTATACCAACCTAACATTAAGTAATTGTACCAAGAGTGTCCTTTTTAGCTGTTTCAACTCCCAGAATCAAAGATCACACATGTTTTATTTTATTTCATGTGTCTTTACTTTCCTTTAATCTAGATTCTAGAACGATTCCCCTACATTTTTTGTTTTTTTTCATGAGACTAGTATTTTCTAAGAATTCAGGACAGTTTATTTAATTATTTGCAGAATGTCCATCAATTTCAATATGTCTAGTTATTTCATCATGATCATATTTAAATTAAACATTTTTGGCAGGGATACAACATAGAGGAGAAGTTATATCTTTCTCGATGCAACATATCACATGATGTCAGTCTGCTCCTTTGTTGGTGATGTGATGTCTGACTACCGGCTTAAAGGAGTCAAACTATAGCTTCTAAGGCACGCTTGTTTATATATAAGGGCTACACACATATACACACATTTTTAAGAAAAAGACATTTTTGTTAACACTTGGATTTAGCTGAGTTTCAGGACATAATACGTACGCTAAGTGCAATAAACTGCTATTTTCTGTTCTACTTTAAAAACATTTTTTAAAAATGCTGGTCTTGACCAACTCAATCTTGTTGGCAGGCTGTACTTTGAAAACGACTGCTTTAGGGTCATAGGTATAAGCAAATATTCAGTCACAGGTGAGAAATAAACTGTCACAAAATCCTGAGGAATTTAAAAGACCTATTTGTATGCACCCAACATAGGAGCACCTCAATACATAAGGCAAATGCTAACAGCCATAAAAGGGGAAATCGACAGTAACACATTCATAGTAGGGGACTTTAACACCCCACTTTCACCAATGGACAGATCATCCAAAACGAAAAAAAATAAGGAAACACAACCTTTAAATGATCCATTAAACAAGAAGGACTTGATATTTATAGGACATTCCATCGAAAAACAACAGAATACACTTTCTTCTCAAGTGCTCATGGAACATTCTCCAGGATAGATCATATCTTGGGTCACAAATCAAGCCTTGGTAAATTTAAGAAAATTGAAATCGTATCAAGTATCTTTTCCGACCAAAATGCTATGAGACTAGACATCAATTACAGGAAAAAAAAACCTGTAAAAAATACAAACACATGGAGGCTAAACAATACACTACTAAGTATCCAAGAGATCACTGAAAAAAGTCAGAGGAAATCAAAAAATACCTAGAAACAAATGACAATGAAAACACAACGACCCAAAACCTATGGGATGCAGCAAAAGCAGGTCTAAGAGGGAAGTTTATAGCAATACAATCCTACCTCAAGAAACCAGAAACATCTCAAACAACCTAAACTTACACCTAAAGCAATTAGAGAAAGAACAAAAAAACCCCAAAGTTAGAAGGAAAGAAAACATAAGATCAGATCAGAAATAACTGAAAAAGAAATGAAGGAAACAATAGCAAAGATCAATAAAACTAAAAGCTGGTTCTTTGAGAAGATAAACAAAATTGATAAACCATTAGCCACACTCATCAAGAAAGAAAGGGAGAAGACTCAAACCAATAGAATTAGAAATGGAAAAGGAGAAGTAACAACTGACTGTATTTCTGACTCTGCAGAAATACAAAGGATCATGAGAGATTACTTCAAGCAACTATATGCCAATAAAATGGACAACCTGGAAGAGATGGACAAATTCTTAGAAAAGCACAACCTTCCGAGACTGAACCAGGAAGAAATAGAAAACATAAACAGACCAGTCACAAGCACTGAAATTAAGACTGTGATTAAAAATCTTCCAACAAACAAAAGCCCAGGACCAGATGGCTTCACAGGCGAATTCTAACAACATTTACAGAAGAGCTAACACCTATCCTTCTCAAACTCTTCCAAAATATAGCAGAGGGAGGAACACTCTCAAACTCATTCTATGAGGCCACCATCACCCTAATACCAAAACCAGACAAAGATGTCACAAAAAAGAAAACTACAGGCAAATATCACTGATGAACAGAGATGCAAAAATCCTCAACAAAACACTAGCAAACAGAATCCAACAGCACATTAAAAGGATCATACACTATGACCAAGTGGGGTTTGTCCCAGAAAAGCAAGGATTCTTCAATATACGCAAATCAATCAGTGTGATAAACCACATTAACAAATTGAAGGAGAAAAACCATATGATCATCTCAATAGATGCAGAAAAAGCTTTTGACAAAACTCAACACCCAATTATGATAAAAACCCTCCAGAAAGTAGGCAGAGAGGGAACTTACCTCAACATAATAATGGCCATATATGACAAACCCACAGCCAACGGCATTCTCAATGGTGAAAAACTGAAACCACATCCACTAAGATCAGGAAAAAGACAAGGCTTGCTAAAAAGACAAGGTTTCTCTTTAGCCACAGCAATCAGAGAAGAAAAAGAAACAGAAGGAATCCACATTGGAAAAGAAGAAGTAAAGCTGTCACTGTTTGCAGATGACATGATACTATACATAGAGAATCCTAAAAATGCCACCAGAAAACTACTAGAGCTAATCAATGAATTTGGTAAAGTTACAGGATACAAAATTAATGCACAGAAATCTCTTGCATTCCTATACACTAATGATGAAAAATCTGAAAGAGAAACTAAGGAAACACTCCCATTTACCACTGCAACAAAAAAAATAAAACACCTAGGAATAAACCTACCTAAGGAGACAAAAGACATGTATGCAGAAAACTGTAAGACACTGATGAAAGAAATTAAAGATGATACAAATATATGGAGAGATAAACCATGTTCTTGGATTGGAAGAATCAACACTGTAAAAATGACTATACTACCCAAAGCAATCTACAGATTCAATGCAATCCCTATCAAACTACCAATGCCATTTTTCACAGAACTAGAACAAACAATTTCACAATTTGCATGGGAACACAAAAGACCCCGAATAGTCAAAGCAATCGTGAGAAAGAAAAACGGAGCTCAAGGAATCAGCCTCCCTGACTTCAGACTATATACTACAAAGCTACAGTAATCAAGACAGTATGGTATTGGCACAAAAACAGAAATATAGATCAGTGGAACAGGATAGAAAGCCCAGAGATAAACCCACTCACATATGGTCACCTTATCTTTGACAAAGGAGGCAAGAATATACAATGGAGAAAAGACAGCCTCTTCAATAAGTCGTGCTGGGAAAACTGGACAGGTACATGTAAAAGAATGAAATTAGAACACTCCCTAACACCATACATAAAAATAAACTCAAAATGGATTAAAGACCTAAATGTAAGGCCAGACACTATCAAACTCTTAGAGGAAAACATAGGCAGAACACTCTATGACATAAATCACAGCAAGATCCTTTTTGACTCATCTTCTAGAGAAATGGAAATAAAAACAAAAATAAACAAATGGGACCTAATGAAACTTTACAGCTGTTGCACAGCAAAGGAAACCATAAAAAGACGAAAAGACAACCCTCAGAATGGGAGAAAATATTTGCAAACGAAGCAACTGACAAAGGATTAATTTCCAAAATTGACAAGCAGCTCATGCAGCTCAATATCAAAAAAATAAACAACCCAATCCAAAAATGGGCAGAAGACCTAAACAGACATTTGTCCAAAGAAGATATACAGATTGCCAACAAACACATGAAAGGATGTTCAACATCACTAATCATCAGAGAAATGCAAATCAAAATTACAATGAGTATCACCTCACACCAGTCAGAATGGCCATCATCAAAAAATCTACAAACAATTAATGCTGGAGAGGGTGTAGAGAAAAGGGAACCCTCTTGCACTGTTGGTGGGAATGTAAATTGATACAGCCACTATGGAGAACAGTATGGAGGTTCCTTAAAAAACTAAAAATAGAACTACCATATGACCCAGCAATCCCACTACTGGGCATATACCCTGAGAAAACCATAATTCAAAAAGAGTCATGCACCACAATGTTCACTGCAGCTCTATTTACAATATCCAGGACATGGAACCAACCAAAGTGTCCATCGACTGATGAATGGATAAAGAAGATGGGGCACATATATACAATGGAATATTACTCAGCCATAAAAAGAAACGAAATTGAGTTATTTGTAGTGAGGTGGATGGACCTAGAGACTGTCATACAGAGTGAAGTAAGTCAGAAAGAGGAAAACAAATACCGTATGCTAACACATATATATGGAATCTTAAAAAAAAAAAAAAAAGGTTCTGAAGAACCTAGGGTTAGGACAGGAATAAAGACGCAGACATAGAGAATGCACTTGAGGACATGGGGAGGGGGAAGCGTAAGCTGGGATGAAGTGAGAGAGTGGCAGGGACATATACACACTACCAAATGCAAAACAGGTAGCTAGTGGGAAGCAGCTGCATAGCACAGGGAGATCAGCTCGGTGCTCTGTGTCCACCTAGAGGGGTGGGATAGGGAGGGTGGGAGGGAGATGCAAAAGGGAGGAGATACGGGGATATATGTATATGTATAGCTGATTCACTTTGTTATACAGCAGAAACTAACACACCATTGTAAAGCAATTATACTCCAATAAAGATGTTAAAAAAAAAAAAAGACCTATTTGGCAGGCAAATATGATTACTAAGTAGAGCAAGCCCAGCCTTCCAACAGCCCTGGGATGGTCTGTGCTATGAACAAGCAATAATATTTACTTATACAAAAGCATCTAGTAAAAATAAAAATACAGAGAAACTATTCAGTACCAGGCACTACATGTTCTATGCTCTCTCACTGGATCTTTACAGCAACCCAATGAAGTTGGTATTATAAATTTCACATATAAGGAAACATGCTCAGACGTGTGAAGTGACTTGACCGAAGTCACACTACTAGAACTGGTATCTGAACCAGTTCAGATGTCAAATCTCCTTGACATCAAAGCCCATGATCTTGCTACTATGCCACCAGCGCCCCCAAGCATGGTATTTTGTTCCACAGGAAGAAAGACTCACCATCTGAAAATGTTCGAACAGCAACATCTTGTGTGGAGACTCCAGGACCATGTTTATTGTAGGCCACCACTCGGAAACTATACTCTGTATATTTTTTCAACCCGTTAATGGTGTGGGAGTGACTTGAAACATCAACATCCTTGAATAAAATAAAACAATTTATATATACACAACTCAAGCCAAAAGAAATGCTGCAAAATAAAGAATTAACTATACAAATTCTATATTTGACATAATGCAGATTTTTGTCCCTTTTACAGAATATTATTTAACAGTTAAAGCAAATTAATCATAAGCACTGCAGTTTGCTGAGAAATACTCCTTGATGTTTAGGAACCCTTGCTGGCAAAAACTACAGAATAAACCTTTGTACCAAGAAATAGAATCTATCAACTTTTCATTTCTTATACATATTTTTTTCCTCAGATTTCTAGACAAGCAGGTATTGAGTTTTGGAAATATATTTCAACTCTACTATTCCAATCAATGCATTAAAAAATGGCTTCCTATTATACCTGTTCTTTATCAGTTCCTTTTTCCATGTAGTACAGTTTGTAATTCTGAATTTCCCCATTTCCAGACAATGGTGTTTCCCAGGTGACAGTAATGGAAGTAGGTGAAGTTGCATACGCTCGGATGTTAGGTGCTGGGCCAGGGAGCTGAACTAGAAAGAAAATTTCAAGACAGTAGGACATAAATAAAATTTACTGCATCCCTCAAGACCATTCTCAGCAATAATGGCACACTATGGCTTTTTTTTAAATTTAATTAATTAATTAATTTGTTTATTTTTGGCTGTGTTGGGTCTTCGTTGCTGCACGTGGGTCTTCTCTAGTTGCAGCGAGCAGGGACTACTCTTTATTGCGGTGCGTGGGCTTCTCACTGAGGTGGCTTCTCTTGTTGAAGAGCATGGGCTCTAGGCACGTGGGCTTCAGTAGTTGTGGCATGTGGGCTCAGTAGTTGTGGCTTGCAGGCTCTAGAGTGCAGGCTCAGTAGTTCTGGCACACGGGCTTAGTTGCTCCGCGGCATGTGGGATCTTCCCGGACCAGGGCTCGAACCTATGTCCCCTGTGTTGGCAGGCGGATTCTTAACCACTGCACCACCAGGGAAGCCCTGGCTATGTTTTTAAAACAATAAAAACTACGAAAACAAGTGATCTGACTGAAGTGGTTTCAGGATAATATATAATTAAGTGATTTCCGTCTTTATGACTGAAAAACCAAAAATCATCTGTGATGTATCTCAAATTTATTCAAAGAAAAAAGTGAACAGTGCAGAATTCTTCTTGTGGTTTATAAAATCCTAGTTTTGCAGTGGGACTGCAGCACATAAAAGCAAACATCACAAAAAGAGAGCCTTCTTTTACCAGGCTCTGGGGATACAATGAATGATGGACAGAGTCCCTGCCCACAAAGAACTCCCAGTCTAGAGGGAAGTCAGACATATAGTTACAAAGAAGATCCTAAGTGCTGATAGATTAGGTAACGTCTGTAATGAAAACTGAAAGAAGAGAGCACACAATTCTGCTTTGGGTGGGGGTGGTTAGGAAAGGGAAGGATTGGTGAGGACTTCTGGGGAGCAGGAAGAATGAGTAGTTTTCTCAGACACCAAGAGGGAAATTGATCCAATCAATTTGGACATAACAGGTAAGAAGACAGTGTCATGTGGTTCAGGTTGAAACAAAGAATGGATATGGGAGACAGAATGCTGCAAAGGATGACAAGAGCCAGATAAAGGAGAACCTCTAAGGCCCTGCTATGAGTTTGGATTATTTCTTGCAGGTGTTAGGTAATTACTGAAAAATTATGAGCAGGAACATGACACGATCAGATCTGCATTTAAAAAGAACATGTGAACACATGCATGGAAGAAAAACAATAATGGCACAAGACTAGATAAATAATAATTTAAAAAATAGCCACCATTTATTGAATGCTTGCAATCAGGCCAGCATTAAGTGCTTTACATTTATTTAAATTACATCTTATTTAATCTGTGCACTAACCCAAATGAGACGGATACTGTTATCATCCCTACTTATGGATGAGGCTGAGAGGTTAAGAACCATTCCCCAAAGATGGAAAAGTTGGCGGGTAGTGGAGCTAGGAGCTGAGCACTTCCTCGTTCTAAAACGTGGACTCAGGAAAACCAGTTAGGGGATTATGACAACACCCTCTGTGGGATGATGTGACTGGAAGATCCCACAATTGGCTGACTGATTGTCTGCCCAGCTCTAAATCCTACAACAGCTCACATCCTTTTTTACTATATTCTTTTTGTCTGACTGACAGGTTCCAGTCCCAGTTTATACACAAATCCTGGCAGGTACCTATATCTACACTTTGGTGGATACTCTCTATCTGAAAACCATTTCTCTGGTGCCACTGCTTCTGTAACAGACATCCATTAGATTTAAGGAAAGGGGAAAAAACAAACAAAATGTAAAACAAGCTGGCTTGCTTAAATAACAGCATGACAGTTGAAGATTCGTTTTCCTACCAAAGCAGAGAAACCTGAATATGGTTTTCTGGCAGTTGTTTGCTTTATTTAGGCATGAATCATGTTATTCTCTTAAGAGCATATTTTGTGCAGCCTAACAGGTGGGAATCGTCACACTTCTGCTGCTATGGAAAACTTTCCCCTAACTTTTTAAAAGGGAAGGAGAACAGAACAAATTCCCTTGAAATCACTTTCAGTATATTCATTGGCTAAATGTAGGCAAAGATGATCCTAAAATAGGAGCTAGTAAATTCTTCCATTTCATCTGTACAGTGGCATTAAAAAATGGAAAAAAATTTAAGTTGGTTTGAAAAGCTAAAAATGTAAACTATTTTCCCAGGGCTGACTCCCACACTTACGGCCCCTCCCACCTGCCCCCAAGCTGTATACCTCCAGATAAAATGCAAATCTCTCTCCACTAACTCCTCTTTTGCCAAAACATGTTATAGTCACTCTCTACCCCTAAAATACTCACACCAGAATCTGCTGGCCCTTCCATCTATATTCTTATTTAGCTACTTTCGTTTAATCGAATTCCTTGAATAAATGATTGTGCTGCCTACTTTCCTTGTGATGACTGTACATCACATTATTGCCCGTTTACTTGTCTGGCGCTGGTACCAAACTGTAAGCTCCTTGTGAACAGAAGTCAAGTCTTACTCGTCTTTACATCTTGCTGCCTAGAATGGTGCCTGGCACATGACAGGCACTCAATAAATCTCTTCTTTCATCTCTAACTTGACAATGGCCCTTCTAGTCCAGTGGTTCTCAATAGTTTGACTTGTAAGTTCTGAAATGATAGTGAAAACCACAGGCTCTTTCCCAAGGAAAATGTGAACATGCACAGACACACAAATATTTTCATGTATCTTCAGAAAGTTCATGGCCCCAGGATTGAACCCTGGAACTGAATCAAATTCAGTGGTCTTTTCCTTTACTTTCATCATGACTCACCTTGCACGTGCACTGTTTGTCCTATTTTGGGGTGGGGTCAAGCAGTGTCCTTCCCCAAGAATGCTTGCTCTAAGCCAAATGCTTTAAGGTCAACCTCAGGTCTCATCTTTTTCTAGGAACCTGACTTGATATACCTAACTTTTACAGTAACTCTTCCTTGTTCTGTATCCCATTATCTCTCATGAATGACGCCTGTATGTGAGAGTTAATGAAGGAAATTGAGTTTTGCTTCGTGGCTTGAGTTTGAAATCTAATAGATTGCTCCTGCTCTCATGTGAACACAGTAACCATGAAATTCAACATCCTTTCCCTGCAGCGAGAACACATTCTTTCCTTAAATCAACGCCCCCCCCCCACCACCCCGCTCTCTGTTGGCCCTCTTGTTGTTGCTTGGGTTTGATTCCTGATCTTTAAGCTCTATTACTGGAATGATCAATGGCCTCCTATATTGACTGCTCATTCTTTAAGGGGAGAATTCCTATCTTGTCCATCCTCTGCATCTCTTATAGTTTTTGCAGTGCCTGGTAGAGGAGGTCCTCAATAACTGTTTGACAGGTAAATGATTTGCTGCAGCATTAGAAAGTGAAGTTCCACAGCTTTTCGACTTTACTTATTCTACCCATCAGGCAGAGTCCTTGAATTATTTCCATAGTTTCAGCGGTAAATTCATTTAATATGTTTAGTTCCCTGGTCAGTAGCTTTCATGAATTTATTTCCCATGCTCCCTAGCTGAAGTAAAATTTTATTACTGCAAGTTTGTTAATACAGAAACACTAGTGCAGTTAACAGTAAAAGAAATCTGGAGAAGGCTCCAAGGAAAAACAGTGGCTCATGTTAAAAGGTAAAAGTGTAGAAGAAAGCCTCATGAGATAAGCATTAATTCTGATTTGACTGCTTGTCATTTCTGGCCTATAGTTTAAAACCAAAATTTAAGACATAGAAGACATTTATAAGATAAATCAACTTGACATTCATTTCAGTTGGAGAAAATCTTAAGAAATGTAACTGGAAGTAACACTATTTAGCACAAAAGACAGCAGGTCCAAAGTAAAGCCCTGAAGAGATTCCAAAGAGTGTGGTATGTATAAAGATCAGGGCAATCCCGTTGAACAATGATTAAATACCTACTTCCTGTGTGAGGCACTGCATTAGATATGGTGGGAAATAAAAGGATAGACAAGACTCTGTCTTTGCCATAAAATTAATGAGATATATTCATAACCATAATTCAAGGAAGAAAATGATAATGTATCTTAGGACTGTTGAGATACAATATTAGATAAGATCAGAGGGAAGGTTCTAGGAAGGCATCTGAGCTAGGTCTTAACGGATCAGTGAAATTTGGGTGTCTATCAGCAGAATTATATTGTCTTACACTATTTGCTACTGCTTGATGTGAATTAATTTGATCTCCCGAAACTATTTTGTAAGGACCTTGAAGGTGAGGAACTGTTATCTTCTGCACTCCTATGGTATGCCAGGCTATATATAAGATAGCCCTTCATACAGGTCTCCCTACAGGTGGGGCTGACAGAGAGGTGGGAGACTTACCCTCAGGCTGTGTTTCTACTCGTAGTGGAGCTGAACTCTCTCCGGAGCCATGTTTATTTTGAGCCATAACTCTAAAGATGTACACAGTCGCTGGCATTAGGTTTTGGATGGTTACCTGCATTTCTCCGGGGCGACTGGTATTTTCAACACGTTCCCTTTGGAGAAAGAGGGATCGATTAGGAAAATTTCCAGAATGTGCAGTTTCATTTTCATTGTAATGCCTATAGATACCATATGACATCAAAATCTTAATAAATCTAAGTCAAATTAACTCTCAAAGAAGGAAACCTTTGGGGGCGGAACAGTGCACAGAATATGGACGCTGGCAAAGAGCAATGTCATACATGTCTGATAAATCGCTGGTGTTCTTGCTTAAACATTACTGATATTGCTGGCTATAATCACAACTTCCTTTCAGAAAAGACACAAAGAATCTTCTTGGTGCCATCTCAAATGGGGCAGCTGGTCACCAATTCTGTACGCTTTAGGAATCACTGAATTTTAAGGGGTTATCCTCAGGGAGACATATAGAAGGTGATTATAGGTATGACCCAATTTTCATACAGTATCAAAGAATGCTGTGTATCTTCTGGATAACAGACTCTCAATAAAAAGAAAATTAGAGATTATCACTTTCAAAACTGAGAACAAAACATTAACAATTTAAATGAATCCAGTCTATAAAATAAGCTAATCATGACTCTGATTTTATTTTATTATTATTATTTTATTTTGCGGTACGCGGGCCTCTCACTGCTGTGGCCTCTCCCGCCGCGGAGCACAGGCTCCGGACGCGCAGGCCCAGCGGCCATGGCTCACGGGCCCAGCCGCTCCGCGGCATGTGGGATCCTCCCGGACCGGGGCACGAACCCGTGTCCCCTGCATTGGCAGGCAGACCCCCAACCACTGCGCCACCAGGGAAGCCCATGCCTCTGATTTTTATAATTTATTTCTTAAAACAAAAAATCTTCTTGAATGATTTTCAAACTGATTTGAAACGTTTAACAAATCTTATCACAAACAGTACAAATGGCCAGTGGTCTAGTGTTATGAGATGAAAACACAAAAACAGTTATCAGTTAGGTTCTTAAAAAAGGTGGCCTCCAGGCTCTATTTTGGGGGTCTCTGTGTCCACACTTGGGCCCATAATTATGCTCAGTATACTGTACTCACTATAACAAAAACCAGATTATATTTGCTTTCAACAAATATTGTAAAGGAAAATAATTGCTTTAGACAAATAGCTGGTCTTTAAGAATTACTGATCATGTGAGGAAAGATCTGTGTCTATCTTGAGAGAGCAATAAAAGGGCCCAAAACTACTCTGTGGAAGAAATTATTTAAAATTACCTAATAATCTGTTGAATTAAATTCTTACTTTAAAATACTGATAATTTTCCCTGAAGCTACTGATTAAGATTTGTTTAGTTCTACATGACCATATGCCAATTTGTCTGATTGTGTGTGAACATTTGCATTTCGGAGATGTGAGCGTTTTTCAATAGTTTTCTATAGCTCTTTAAACTATGTTATTTTAATTAAAACAAACAAACAGTACCCACCCACAATGTATTTATAAAGGTTGTCTGTCTACAGTCAGTTAGGTCCATTGGAAAAGAATATCATGGTAATAAAAGTTATTGCTCAGAGACACTTGGGATATCTATAGATATTATTTTCTCTTCAGCTAAACCTCTAAATCACAAGATTTAGAAGGAGAGTATCAACTGATTTCTTATGCTGTGAGGTTTCTGACACTTGATCCAATCACAAATGCCGTCGAAAAGGAAGTATGGTATTTGACATTTCATTAAACTAACAGCTCCATGCCAGAGCACAGAATAGTCTGTTTCGCTCACTGTACATGAAACTTTAAACAAGTTCTCTCTCAGAAAGACAGCCGGTGGGGGGAGGGGGGCACTATCTTACTTTAAATAAAAGTGAAAGAGTGTTCATTCATGTTCACATACCACAGAAGCACTAGCAGAAGGCTCACACACAGAAGTACCATCGCAAATGTGTACTGAATGAATGAATGAAAATTTGCCTTTTGATGTGTAAATGATATACTAATGATATCACGTTTATCTTTTTGTTTGTTTCTATGTAAAAGGGGAAAATACCTAGAACAAATTTCTACAGAAGCATTACAATAAGAAAAAATCAGTAGTAGGTATGATTCCCTAAGATAAAACATCTAGCACCTGAAAAGGCTTCTAACAGTGGATTGGTCTGAGGTCCCAGAACCAAGTGTCTGTCTAGAAAAAAACTTCTGACTTCAGGAAAGATCCAGGGTGAGTTATGAAGGACAATTCTCATAAATGTGTGAGGTTATGATGGGTCTTAGGTTAGAATGTCTTAGCTAAGAGTCAAAAGAGAAAGAAAAAGATACACTTTATACTAAGACAGTGCTGGGCCAGAAGTTAGGAGCTCCAATTCTAGTTCTGGCAATACTACTAGCTTGCTAGGGGATCGTGGGAAAGTCACCAATTCTTTCTGGGCTTCAGTTTCTTCATGTATTAAATGAAAGAACGAGCCCAGGGTGGTGAACTTTTTCTTAAAGGGCTTGATAGTAAATATCTACAGGCCAAGATGCCAAATGAAAAATATTACCAACCATCTCCACAGTTAAAAATCCAAGTATAACTTTAGTTGGTCCTCCCTATCCACAGTTCTGAATCTGGGAATTCAACCAATTGTGGATCATGTAGTACTGTACCATAGTACAGAAAAATCCACATATAAGTGGATGTGTGCAGTTCAAACCCATGTCGTTCAAGGGTCAACTGTAGTTACTTGTATAACCTATTAAAATGTAACCGTTTGAAAATGTAAAAACTATTCTTAGCTCTTGGGCCATAAAAATAACAAGTTTGATTTGGCCCAGGGTCTATAGTTTGCCAGCTCCCGGACTAGACTAACAGATATGTAAGGCTTTGTCCAACTCTAAAAGGCTATTAATTTCTGGAATAACTTACTCTGTACTTTCCATTTGGTGGCTAACAGAAAATACTGCTGTTTACATTAAAGGCATTGAAAAAAAAAGGTGAACATTTCATAGGTGAAATGGCAGAGGAAGAACCCTTTGGAATTTCAGGAAACTCAGGTACCCAACAGAATTATATAGCTCATGACCAAGGCACATAATGCCACCTGGTGGTTGAGTTATCAAATGCAGGAAGTAAGGGAATTCGTAAATGCAGGCAGCGGCATATATCCTCACATCGAAATGTTTTAAGTCTATGAAGACCTTCATTTTTTAGATGAGAAAATTTAACTTATAAAGGTTAAATAAATTTTGTTTATAAAACAAGTAACAGGGATCTAGTCTTTGACTTAGTGTTATTTCTATTCCTTCACTGTTTCTATTCAGAAATCATAAAGTAATGAAGCGACAAAAATTATTATTACAATCTCCAAGAATATTCCTTTGAAATATTCCCCAGATTTATTGTCTGTTCCAAGTCACTGCTGTCATCTTCATCTGGGCCTACCACATGCCTAGATCAACCTAACTACTACTGACCTGTCTCCCTGACTCCACTGCTTTTCCTCTCTAATCTTATGCAGTGCCCTCCAAGTACTGCTAATAAAAGCTGTTTAATAAAACCACAGTGTACACTTGCTCAGAAGTCCAAAATGGTCCCTTCTTAACTGATTGTCAAAATTCTTACTGGCATTCCAACACTTGGCTCCAAACTTCCACTTTATTGTAATCTCTTACTAATTCTGACCAAAAACTCTAGGCCAGAGCTTTCTTACTTTCCCATCCTTTCAACAACACAAATGAAATTGGATCTTCCTTGCATCTCCTCTTTCTTCACATATACTTGCCCTGTCCTCCTGCCCCTGCCAATTTATCTTCTACATTTTTTCAATTCCAACTTCATTTATTAATCATCCCTGCTTATTTCAACACATGATTCACTAATAAGTGACAGATTTTCACTAAAAACAAAAGTATGTATAATTAAAAGTCCTAGTTTTTCTCCCTCCTTAAAACCTGTTCCACCCTGAGACCTAAAGGTGGCATGTAGACCTGTATCTTGACATTTTGGGCAAGATAATTCTTTGTTTTGGTGGGTGGGGGGGAGCTGTCCTGTACATTGTAGGATGTTTATCAGCATCTCTGGCTTCTACTCACTAGACAGCAGTAAGCATCCCCTCCCATCTCAGCTGCAATAACCAAAAATGTCAGCAGACATTGCCAAATGCCCACTGGGAGATGGGGAGCAAATCTGTCCCTGGTTGAGAATCACTGACCTAGGCATTTATATACACATCAAAATATATAGATATAAGTCACTGAAAAAATTCCTGCATCATACTTCATATGGATATACATATATTAACTATATGCCCATTCCTCTACCAGTGGATATTTACTTTGTTTCCTTTTTTTAATCCTTACAAATAATGCTACATAAACATTTTTTATGAGTGCCCTATGTGTATGTATATTGGCATATCTATAAGACAGACACCTAGAAGTGTTTGTTGGGTTGAAAGGAATGTGCATTAAAAATTTTTTTTTTAATTCTGCCAAATCACCTTCTCCAAAGGCTCCTCTAACTTATACTACCACCAAGAGTCTCGATTGGATTTAATCCCAACATTCAGCTCACTTAACACTGGATATTATCAACTTAAAATTTCTGCCAGCCTTACACGTGAAAAATGGTAACTCATCATTTTGTATTTCCAAGATTGTTAGTAATCGTGAAAACTTTTTTTTTGAACTTTAATGGGCTTTCCACTAACTTCTTTGAGGCACCTACTTATACCATCTGCCTCTTGAGATATCTGTCTTTTACTTGTGATTTGTAGAAGTTCTTTATACAGACTGGATATCAATACAATCTTCTACAAATGTTAAATTTTTTCCCAGCTTATCAGTTGATAATTTGATTTTTTTATTATGTTTTATCACATGGAATTTTAGTTATATAATAAACTCTGTCAATCTCTCCTATATGGTTCCTGAATTTTCTGTCTTCCTTTAAAAGATACATTAAGTGATGAAAATAGTTTCTATATTTTCTTCTAATACACTTAGAAGTTTTAAAAATATATCTTGATACATCTATAACTTGTTGTTATACATAAGACAGAGGTACAACTTTATTCCTTCTATTAAACGGAGGTTAATTATCTCAACATTTCTTGAATAATTATTATTTCTCCATTCATTAGAATTACTCACTTAACAAGTATTTATTTATACTTGTAGTGTTACTTATAAGCCAGGCTCTGTTCCAGGTGATGGTGATACTCCACTGAACAAGACAAACACCATGAGTGCATTAATATGAAGAGAAAATTTCGAGTATTAAGTGTTCTGAAGAAACACAACACAAAAGCTAAAAAACAAAATACGGTGGTATGTTACAGTGATGTTCTGGTAAATGTTTAACAACTGGCTCCGGTTTGTAGCACTTCTCACTGTAAATACTCCCTCTACCCAATTCTGAGCTACTGAGCCATGTCACTGGGTTTGCAAAATTTCCTGAAAATTTAACAACTGGCTTGGGAACAAGTGCCCCGCTGTGCGACAGTGACCAAGGGGTTAAGCTGGGTGGGTGGTCATGGAAGACCTGAGAAGGGATCATCTGAGGATGACGGACAAGAAGCCAGACAGTTATTTGTGACGGAAATGCAGTTCTGGTGGAAGGAACAACAAGGGCAAAGGCCCTGTGATGCACATAAGCTTGCTTCTGAGGAATTACTAAAAGCTTTTTTCCTTCTGTGTAATCCCATGACGTTTGCAATGCGATCTAAAAGCCTACTGGAAACATTTTAAGACAGGTTCTGTTTGGTAGTAATATCTTGCCTTTCTGGGACTAGCTCTACGTTTCCTTATCTTTGTAACTCCCCAAACATCCAGTGCAGTGTTCGGATGAACATTCTATGACCCTGGGAGCAGCTCCACCTATCTGACTCAAATTATGTCACTCAGATGTCTCAAGAGTATTAAACCAAGGGGTACTGACTTGACGAAGGTGCCTATACTTGCTGAACTTGCCAGTCTGGTATTAAATACAATATATATCGAATCTAAGCACCCCTGTAGAAATACAAGCTTTATTTCATGGGTTAGGGCCATAACCAAAACAGATTATTTTAGTTTTCTTATTTTGGTGTGAAGTAACAGCACAATGAAGGAATCTACTCAGCAATATTCAGAGTACACAGTCAGCATGTGGCATGGTACCTCCCAAAGAGTTTATAACCTGGTTGGGAAAACAACACAAATACACATAAAATAACAGAAGAGTAACAACTATGGTAGTATTAGATCATGTGTTATCATAATTAAGTGCCAGTATCAGTGGCACAGACATACATACAAGAGAAAAGCTGTATGTGCTGAAAAAGGTAGAGAAAGATTTATGAGGGCTTCATGGGGCTTAGTCTGGGCCAAGAAAGATTAACTGAATTTTAGTTTCAGTTGAAAAACGGTTTTTTCAAGGGGGAAGTGACTGAAGAGAACAGACTGGGAAAATAGGCTGCACAGTGACAGGAATTAGACTGGTTTCATTAGAAAGTGAGCTAAACTGGGGCTAAAGGAAAATAAGGTTGGATAGATAAAACAAAGGTAGACTGTGGAGTAAAGCAGCCTGGTGATTCTGGAGAATCTCCAAAAGCAATGGAGAGGCAACGTGAGTTCCTGAAAGAGGTGGAGATGGAGAGAAATTTAATGAAATGTTGTTTTAGGAAAATGAGTCACTAAATACTCCTGTGTCATCAAGGAGACCCCCCCCCACCCCACCCCAGAGCTCAGCAACCCACATCCGTGTACGGGTGCAGACAGATATTCATTAAGATTACTTTAATAACTATCTTAATTTCTAGAATCTGAAAGTTCTAAGAAAGACATAGCCTATGGGTTGTGCCTGACTGACTCTTATGAAAAAACGGTAGCCCTGGTTACATTTTAATACTTCTAACTTAAATAACTCTCTCCCCAAGTCATCCCAGAGAGGCAGGAAAGAATACCAGGACTTCAGTCTGTTTAGGAATTTACTTTTAATGACCTAAAACTAGGTCATCTCAGTGATCATATTTTCTGGACTGAAAGTTGGTACAGATTCTACACAGTAAAGAGTCAGGGTAGGGACGGCTGGTCTTGGGTGGACAAGATGCAACTAACCGGCTCCAGACGTACAGGCACTTACCTAGCAATCCCCTCCTTGGTGTAGAAGACAGAGTAGGTAAGGTTGTCCCCATGAGGATCTGATGCAGGTGTCCGCCATGTCAATTTGATGAAGCGGGTAGAGACCAAGGAGGCCACGACATCCCGAGGAGCTGAAGGCAGTGGTCCAGTTGTGGCTGGTGCTAGATGGTCAGTAGTGGCACTGGTCAGTGAAGTGGGAGGTAATGTTGGGATGGCAACATCTTGTCATGTGCAAATATTGGGGAATATGAAGGGCAAACCACGACGGTTTTAAAAAAGAGAACAGAAAAAACAAAAAACAAAAAAGAAATAAACAAAACCACGATGGGAAATAAAATAAAATGAATGAACATAAAAAAGGCCATTAAACTGAAGGCTAACATGCAGGCCAGGGGTAACTACTGAAAACTAATGGGCACTAGTCAAGACACATCACTGCAGAGCAAGCAGACTTTCTGGTCACTATAATGGTTGTCGGCAAGGGACAGGGAGTGTGACAGCTAAGAATAAAACATTTCATGGAAGGACACATCAGTGCCCAAGTAATTTTCTTTAATTCTGACAGCAGCATGCAACATCTGTTGAACTTTGCACATAAAAGTCTTATATATGATAAAACCTCAATATTTTTTCCCACTTTATCAAAATATGGAACAATGTGTGTAGTATGGATGGGCCTAATTACACTCAACATAGGCCCCAGACTATCATGACCTCACTGCAGAGCTGTGTGTGCCTTTAGCTCTGCAGGAGATTCAAGAGCCAGATCTTCAACTGGAGTCTAACATTAAAGTTTGCTCTCTGTATTTGGCAATACCCAGGGAAGTCTGATAACCTTTCTCAATTCACTAAGTTATAGTTCATTTCCTCTCATCAATTCATTTGACTACAACAGTATAAAATCGTGCATCACAAATTCCAAAGTCACACAAATATAACACTTATGAGGTAGCATATCTGTTTGGTACAGTCCTCACTGCAGTGTAATAGATTACGACAGCTTGCAGACCCCAGGGACTTGATGGGACAGATGAAGCAGTGGCAAATCAGAGCTCTGCAAGTCGAAAGCCTCTGTCTGTATGCCCGGAGTCGGCCCATTCTGTTGCTGGACACTTCTGACTTTAGAAGTCCATTCCTAATATTAACCTAAAATCTCCTTCACCTTGGAGTATACGTTTAATCTCACAATTTTCAACTCATGGAATTCGTTACAATTCTGTCCTAACCTTAATGGGGAAATTAGAAGAGAGGCAGAGACGAAAGCATGACAATTCTGGACCTCGTTTTCAATGAAATGGTAGGACAACAACCTCCTGAAAATGTCTATGAATTACAGGAGAATCTTTTAAAGTGAGGCAGTCTAAATAAATATGCCACAGAGAATAAATTCTCCAAGGGAAAGGCAGAGGAAGACCAACGTAAAGTCTCTAGACAGCTACCATTTATTGAGCACTTTCTACATGGCACTCTCACTCTTTACATGGACTCATTCAATCCTTACAACTCTGTGAAATAGGTACTATCATTGTTATCTCTATATTATATATGGAGACTGACATTTAAAAAAGGCTAAATCACCCTTCCTAGGAATAGGAAGTGGTGGAGTGTTAAAACCAGCCATGGTTTTTTAGCTTAAGAGGCCTCTGGATTTAGCCAATAGAAGTTTTTAGTCCTTGTTGTGCCACTCAGGGTTATGGGAGCAGTCAGGGACTCTTGTTTGTTTTTGTCAATTCCCCTTGCCCCCAAGTCTCGTGAAGGCAATGCAAAGGGCCCAGGATGAATGCCTGCATGTGCAGTAGGTGTTACAGGAGAAAAACCCTGAGCTTGTGGGATTTACCACTTTCATAGCAAGGGAAAGCAAGATCCAGACAAAGAATGGACCTGCTGTGGATATCTTTTTTTTTTTTTAACATCTTTATTGGAGTATAATTGCTTTACAATGGTGTGTTAGTTTCTGCTTTATAACAAAGTGAATCAGTTATACATATACATATGTCCCCATATGTCTTCCCTCTTGCATCTCCCTCCCTCCCACCCTCCCTATCCCACCCCTCTAGGTGGTCACAAAGCACCGAGCTGATCTCCCTGTGCTGTGCAGCTGCTTCCCACTAGCTATCTATTTTACACTTGGTAGTGTATATATGTCCATGCCACTCTATATGTAATTCTGTTGTGGTTGGAGACATACTTTGTATGGTTTCAGCCTTTTAAAAGGTACTGAAACTTGTTTTGTGTCCCAGCATATAGTCTATCCTGGCAATTGTTCCATATGTGCTTGGAAAGAATCTGTATCTGTAGTTGCTGGGTGGAGAGTCTACGATGTCAGCTACGTCAAGTTGACTGACAGGATCGCTTAAGTCCTCTATACTCTTTCTAATTGTTTTATCAGTTTTTGAGAGTAGGATATTGAAATCTCCAACTGTTATCATTTATTTATGTATTTCTTCTTTGAATATACCAATTACAAATGCATATACATCTAACAAAAGAGCCCCAAAATATATGAATCCAAAGAAATCTGGGAAAACCTCAAATATTTGGGAATCAAAAAACACTCCTAAATAACCCAAGTCAATGAATAGCAAGAAAAAATTTTTTTAAATATTTTTAACTGAATGAAATGAAAATACAACATATTAAAAATGGAAAGATGCAGTTAAAGCAGTGCTTAGAGGAAAATTAAAATACCTTTACCAGAAGATAAGTCTCACATGAATTACCTAAGGTTCTACCTTACTGAAGAGTGTAGACCTTAAGCTTTTTTTCTTTTCTTAATATAGCAGGTTAAGCTTTTTCACATACCCAAAAAAAGTAACCATGTGAGGTGATAGATGTGTTAAGTAACTTAAATGTTGGAATCCTTGCACAATGTATATGTATCAAATCATTATGTTGTACACTTTAAATATATTACCATTTATTTGTCAATTATACCTCAATAAAGCTGGAAAAAAATTAAATTTTAACCACATTCTTAAAAAAATACAAGGGTAAGAAATTAAGAGAAGATGTAAGCTACCAAAATAAAAAATAAAAGAGGGAACAATGCTACGAATCCCACAGATATTAAAAATTATAAGGGAAGGGCTTCCCTGGTGGCGCAGTGGTTGAGAGTCCGCCTGCCAATGCAGGGGACACGGGTTCGTGCCCCGGTCTGGGAAGATCCCACATGCCGCGGAGCGGCTGAGCCCATGAGCCATGGCCGCTGAGCCTGTGTGTCTGGAGCCTGTGCTCTGCAACGGGAGAGGCCACAACAGTGAGAGGCCCGTGTACCACAAAAAAAAAAAAAAAAAATTATAAGGGAATATTATGAACAAATTTATGCCAATAAATCAGACAACTTAAAGGAAATAAAAACATTCCCAGGAAGACAAAAATTACCAAACCTACTCAAGAAGAAGCACAAAATCTAGACAGAACTATAATAGATAGAAAAATTTAAATAAAAATCTTCCCACAGTGAAAAGTCCAAGCCCAGACGGTTTCACTGGTGAATGCTATCAAATATTTAAAAGAAGAATTAATACTAATCCTTCATAACTCTTTCAGAAAAAGAGTAGAAACACTTCTAACTTATTTTGTGAAGCTAGTATTACTCTGATATAAAAGCCAAAGATACCACATGAAAAGAAAACTACAGAACCCTCATGATCATAGATACAAAAATCTTTAACAAAATATTAGTAAACCATATTTGGTAACATATTAAGAGGATTATAAACCATGATCAAGTAGAATTCATCACAGGAATTCAAGACTAGTTTAACATCCAAAAACCAATGTAATATATTATATTAACAGAAAAAAACCTGATCATCTCAATAGATGCAGAAAAAGCATTTGACAAAATCAAACACCTATTCATAATAAAAACTCTCAACAAATTAGGAAAAGAAGTAAACTTCCTAGACCTAAAACACATATGGTGAACATTATACTTAAATGGTGAAGGAATAAATGCTTTTTCCCCAATGCTGGAAACAAGGATGTTAGCTCCTGCTTCTTATATTAAGCATTGTACTGGTCCAAGCCAGTGCAAGAAGGCAAGAAAAACTGAATAAAGATTAAAAAGGAAAAAGTAATACTGTTTTTATTTGTAATTAATAATTAACTGAGTAGAAAACCCTAATGAATCTAGGAAAAAAAAAAAGCTACCAAAACGAATAAATATGTTTAGCAAGGTCATAGGATACAAGATCAATATATAAAAACCAACTCTATTTCTATACACTAGGAATGAACAATCCTAAAGTAAAATTAAGAACACAACTCCATTTACAACAGCATCAAAAAAGAATAAAATATTTTTATTTTATTCCCGTAAGATTTGTACCCTGAAAACTACAACTCATTGCTGAGAGAAATTTTTTAAACTCTAAATAAAGATCTAAATGAAAACATCTAAATAAATAAATGTTCATGGATTAGAAGACTTAATGTTGTTAAGATGATATGCTGCCCCTAAAATTTAATATTAAGATCTGCAAAAGATCTAGAATAGCCAAAATAATTCTGAAAATGAAGCAAATGGTTGGAGGACTTGGATTACCCGATTTCAAAACTTACTATAAAGCTCTAGTAATTGAGACAGTCCAGCATATGAATAGGCATATAGATCAGTGAAAGAGAACTGAGAGTCCAGAAGTATGCCCCTATATTTGTGGTCAACTGGTTTTCAGCTAAGGTGTCCAGAAGTTTCAATGTGGTAAGAACAGTCTTTTCAACAACTGATGCTGGTACAACTACATATCCCCATGCAAAGCAATGAACTTAGATCCTTACTTAACACCACATACAAAGATTAACTCAAAACAGCTCCTAGACTTAATAGAAGAACTAAAATTTCTGAAAAAATATATAGGGGAAAGTCTTTGTGCCTTGGGTTAGAAAAGTATTCTTAGACATGATAACAAAAGCACAAGATACAGAAGAAAAAAACAGATAAATTGTATTTTATTAGAAATAAAAACTTCAGCACATTAAGGAAAACATAACTAAGTAAATGATAAGCCAGAGACTGGCAGAAAATATTTCCAAAGTGTGTATCTGATGAAGGACTTGAACATATAATTCAGAATATATATTCAGGATCAGAATATATAATCAACTTCTATAAATTAGTAAGAAAACAAGCCAATTTAAAAACAGGCAAAAGACTTGAAAAGTCATTCACCAAAAAGAACATACAAATGGCCAACACACATGTGAAAATGTGTTTAAC